TTATACGATGTCAAAAATAGTCTTCAAAATGCTCCTTCAGTACAAAACTTAAATATATTCACTTTAATGTAACTTAAAAGCTGCCAATCCTCAAAATATAGAAGTTGAAAATAATATTTATGATGTTATTAATAATTTATTGTTTGCCATCATTGAGATCCAGGCTGTTTCTACATAAGTGAGGGTAAAGTGAGCCCCTTCTACTTCATCTGTGTAAAACATTCATAACTCAAACCAGACATCTGTCTGAGGTTTTCCAAATCTTGACAACAACAATGCTGAATCTTGCCATTGTGTTAAGTAACTAAGTTTGGGAGGATCCTAATTGGGGAAGACAGATGTGTGCATCAGAGGCCACCCTGCCTTTCACAGTGTTCTGGCAGCTACTCACAGTGATGAAGGGACCCGGAGGCATCAGCATCTCACTGACAGTCTGCACAGAGCACCTGGAAATTCGTGCAAAGGAAGCAGGCAGCATAGTCGTCAACAGTAAAGATTATCGGTAGTGTGTGTGCTTCTTCTACAGTCTACAATTTTTATACAAAGAAAATAAATAGAAGATAGTGTTTGAGGAAACATCACGACACAGCTCAACTGTTTATGAATTAAAACAAAGGAAGACACATGCAGGAATATTTAAAAATGTTCCCAACAACAAGTGTTCCCACACGCTCACCTAATAGACCAGTCATTTGTTCCACATGTACAGCTTCCATTTGTGTGACAGTAATACTGTTTGCAGAGCCAAACTCAACTATACTGCCTGTATTACAGAACACAGTTTTGTACTTCTGACTTTAGTTTGCACATTAATATGCAGAGTTTGTTCACACCACTGGTTCATACAGTTCTGCAAACCTGACACATTTATTGTTTGAATCTTCAAGCTGATTCTAACATGAAATAATCATTTGTTCATTGTTCTTCACCAACATTGTTAGAAATGTATGCACTACATCACTCCAAGCTCGGTCTCGGCCTGGCATCTATAATCCATAACTCCGGCTGGAGTCGATCTAACATTAACAAGACAGTACAATATGAGAGTCTTCAGGCCTGAGCCCAAAACAGGCTCTCATTAATAACAGCTCTCTGTCATAACAAAGAACATTAATCAGCCAAAGCTTGGCATAACAACATAAAATAAAGCACCTAACTGATTTCTTTAGATCCTGGTGCAGAAACAATTAATAGGGTTTGCAACCTTCCTGTAACATATTTACTAAAGATTCTTTATCGCAGGTTCTGATTATTTCAACCAAACACTGACTACTTTTTCTCCAACTGAATTATTTTAGAAACCTGAAGAGGTAAAACCAAACAGTGTGAGTAGCAACATTTAATATTCTTCTTGTTTTTTACTCTGGTAATCATCTCAGTACCACTCAGGTTTAACTAAGGGACCATTACAACAAAGAAAAACAAAACATTACCTTTATGGGTACCTGACCCTGAAGTTGGGAACCAAAACCTTTCTTTACTGAGTATAAAACAATAACAAAATACTGTAAATCTAAGAAAATAATTAAATAAGAAGTAAATAAGACTAAACATTCGTTCCCACTTCAGGAGCTACAGTTTTTGATAATTTGTGCAAAGTGTATGGAGGTTTGCCATTCAGCCCTGTAAACTACACAAGGTTTAGAAAATGAGCAGAAAGAGGGGTAGGGATCTTAAAAGGCTGATCCCCACCCCACTCCCAACACACACACACACACCTCTAATCTTTCTTTACCTGAACAGGATTGAGAGCACTGTGTTTTCTGTGGTCACAAGTGCCTAAACAGAATTAAAGACACTCGGCAATGTATCTTATTTTTAGTGTGTGCATGCAAGTTTGTACTGTATGTATTCATGTGCATCGGTCAGGTCTGTGTGAACATGTCCTGCATGTCAACATTACTGCAACAAGGAGAGATGAAGCTTTGCAGTATGGATACACTCCTGTGAGTGTATCCTCAGCAGTAGCCTGAGGTTCTCTGAGTTTCAGACTGGGTATGTATCCAAGCATCAACAGTGTGTAACAATTGAACAGCATTAACAAAACTGCTCATTTTGCTAACATCCCTAAGGTGAAGTGGATTTTTATTGCAGCATATTAACATTCTCAGTCTTCTATGTTATTGTCCAACAACCAGCACACATTTACATTTCTCAAAGAGCATCATTAAAACACTGCACAGACCAGCTCAGGAAGCCCAGACTGTCTTGCAACCTTGCCTTTCGTCAAGGGCAGCAGTGAACTCTGTTAACTCAAAACGCCAATTTATATGTAGCTCACACACACACACACAATATAGCAGCAGCCAAAGCAGACAAAAAAGAAAGAAAAGAAAAAGAAGAGTAACAGAGAGAGCAACTGCTGCATCTCTTCCATGAGTTAGTGCAACATGAGAGCAATCTGAAGTTATTCAGCATTGAATCTGCTACTAGCTGTGCCACAGCAGTACTAGTTTAAGGAAGTGTTTATGAGAGCTTCATATGCACACTACCTTGTCTGTGCCAACAATAGCAGGCAGCACAAGATATCACATCATCAATGTTTCTCATGTATTTCACAGCTTGGCTACAGAAAAAACGTGGCCACAAACGACACCAAATGAGTTCAAGCTAAATCCTTACAAATTTGCCTGCAATAGTAAGCAATAGATGTATTTGACTTGATTACCAATTCAGTGCTTTAGCCTTTTCATTTAATTAATTCTGCTTTAATTAATTGATATGTTTCATTTTTGCATCAAATAGTTAATTAATTGATATGTTTCATTTTTGCATCAAATAGTAAAGGGTGGTTCAGTCAGTGACTCCTCCAGGGCCTTCACCCACAGGGCAGTGCAAGGTTAGCATCTCTATTGTCAGATTAATAATGGAGCAGGAGCCCAGCTGACTACCGACACACTATATAATGCTAGTCATCACCAGGCCAACCCACGCACACCTGTCAACACAGGCACTGGAGCATTGGACACAGGTCATTGTTGTGTGGCATGCTCAGAAATGAAATGCAGGATCATTACATCTGTGATGTGGCAATGATTACTTTGCTGTGTTTTGTCAAAGAACCACTGCTTCAGTGCTTGTCTGGCCATGCAGAGATGAGTTACAGTACCACAACCAGCAGAAAGCTTTTCAATCCAAGGAGTCCTTCAAGGACACCTAGAGGTTCAAGTGCATTTTTCAGATTTGCACTTTAGTAATACTGTTCCTCTTGTCATGGAGAAATAGGACAAGAAAGCTGCTGCTTTGAAACATGTCTGCTACCAGATAGCAATAAATCCAGCAGGTGTAGATGATTCATGATTCAAAACAGTCTGAAGAAACTGAACAGCAAGTAATTTTGATAACCAATTAATAGTTTAAATCATTTATGAAGCATTTCCACATTTACCAGACTTGATCTACTGCTAATGTTATAGTTCTAAATTACATTTCCTTAAGTTTAAGACAAACAAAAGACAATTTTAAGGCATCACTTGTAAGCTCTGGTAAAATTAAGAGCTATTTTATATATTAAATTATTAATTGTGAGTGAGTGCTTAACCCTAATTTAATAATCCAGCAGCTCTACAACTACAAGAAGGTAACACGAGGCGTGTACTCCAGCAGTTTAATCTGTTGTAGTGGGAGAAACCACCCTTCAGCCTGGAGGGCTGGTTCAACGCATCTACCCTGCTGGAGTGTCCTTGAGTCAGACACTGGACTCCACAAGATGCTGCTGCATAGGCGTATGCTCCCTTGAGCTCTCTATTAAGATAAAACAATAAATCCCATTACACAAGGTGACACCAGCACCTACAGTACAATAACAAGACTAAATGTTTCCTGTTCTGCTGTAAGCCTGGTGCTGTCCAAGGTGCTGAGACAAACTGTCATCTATGGATGTATCATTACAGTACCTGATTATGTCATCGTTGTGTCCCAGGTAAAATTTCTGCTTGTGCTCCCGGGTGTTGTACACAACTCCCACACCGGCGACAAAATAGACAATTTCCTTTGCGGCTGTGTAGTACAGGTTGTTGCGGCACTGATGTCCCCGGTATCCGTACACCCACTCCAGTCTCAGGTGGCAGTTAGGAGCAGTTCTGTCAGCCATGTCCGCACTTCCGCGTGTGTTTCTCTGTTGCTATCACGTAGGCTTTCCGATACAGTGTCATTCACCAAAAATGATTTATTTTAACGGTAAGCACGTGTCCCATTAGTACCGTGGGATTTCCACCAGTCAAAGGAGGATGCTGAAATTAGGCATTTTCTTAGTCTTGCTGTCTGATAAAATTAAAGTCCACTGTCTCTATTAAAGAAACATGTTTCTAAGCAGTTATAGTCATTGCAAGAATTTTCCTGTGCTTATTCAGCCTCAGGCTTGCAGTCCTCTTCGACACAGGTCAAAGCTCCTGTCAAACCCTACAAAGATGGAGCTGCACAGTTATTCCACTAGCATCGCCCACAAAGATGACGGATCAGCCTGTCCTCCAATCAGAATCTGTAACTCATCCTTAACGAAAAAAGCCGGAGAGAACAACTCAGTCACGACTAAACAAGTTATCCAAGATGAGCCAGTATTTATTGGTCATCATTAGCTGCTTTTATTCCTTAGGCTGTAATACACCGTATATCTAGCTCCTGAAAATGTTTGTATGGTTGTTGATACTGTTCAATTAAAAAGGCAGTTTTCCACTTTGGAAAAAACAAACATAGCATAAATAGCCGAAGAAGAAGAAGAAGAAGAAGAAAAGGAAGTGGAAGAAGAATTTTTTTCATTTTAAAAGGTTAAAAACCTAACTTAAATTACATTACATTTTCAATGTTATTCTGCTTTTTGTAGGCTATTTTAATTTTTCTTTAACAAATAATTATTTAGTGCTAAAATTATTTAATGTTTGTATTTATTCCATAAACACTAGAAAAAAATCAAACCGTTATATTATCCATTAAACATCAAACTGTAATATATTTTTGCTAATTTTATTTTTCATTTCATCCCAGGAAAATACGGCAATGAAGGACCGCCTCCTCAGTTGTTGCCGGGCAACAGAGGAAGCTTCAGTTTTGCCATAGGTCCAGCTTTGCTAAAGAGCTTGCTAGCCGATTTCTGTAGCGTCACCTACTTCATTTCGAACGAAGCAATGGAGGTGGCGATGGACCCTTTGTTTCTGGCGTGGAGCTATTTCAGGCGGAGGAAACTCCAACAATGTTCAGATATTTGTACAAAAATATTACAAGACAACCCATACGACCAGGTACTGGGGTGTAGTTAGTCAGGCTAGCCTAGCATGCTAGCGATTTATTATGGAAATCCTGCAACCTGTAGCAACGTGTGCAGAATCCTGATTAGTCGAAACCTCGAAACTTTAACTTAGCTAACGTTGAATTTACAGGTATTATTTAACTCATGTATCCTATTGCTGGATCATATTCGCTACTATGGCACTGCATTTTACATTTCACCTTTTGAGTTCTTCTGCACCGTGGCTTGTTTTCATTTTACCCCTTTCCCCCTGTATATTCACGTCTGTGCTCAACTTTATGTTTCTTTCATTAAATCACTGCATGCTGTCTTAAGGACTCCTTATTTACCTCAGAGGTAACTGATTGCAGCCTTTTCCTTTCTGTCATTGTTGTCATGTGGAATAGTTCAACACAGGTCCTGACTGTAGCAGGTTTACCCAATAGAGGATGTGACATCTGAAGCCCTTTACATCATTTGACATTGTGTGTGTGTGTGTGTTTTTATAGGCTGCCTGGAGCTTGAAAACCCGTGCTCTTACAGAGATGGTATACATAGATGAAGTTGAGGTGGACCAAGAGGGGATTGCTGAGATGATGCTGGATGAGAGCTTTATTGCTCAAGTTGCACGTAAGTATCAACTTTTCTCAGTGACATAATGAAAATTAATAATTCACACATTTATCTAGTAGTTAAATGTGTTGATAATAAGGCTGGACGTTCTTTTAGGCCCTGGAACATCACTGAGACTCCCTGGAACAAGTCAGGGTGGAGGTCCCTCACCGGCTGTCAGGTATTTTTTGCCGGACACTGCTTGTATAATGCTGGGGAATATTACCATTGATGACATTGACATCAAAGTAATAGAGCTGATCTGAGGATTATTTTCTAAATTCAAGGCCTATGACACAATCAGGACGTCCTATCACAGGATTTGTGAGACCCAGCACACAGTCAGGGCGTCCTGGGACAATGGAGCAGGCCATCAAAACCCCCCGTACTGCAAGCACTGCTCGTCCTGTCACTAGTGCTTCTGGTAGATTCACCCGTCTGGGAACAGTGAGTAAACATGCCTGAAATTTTGTATCAACAAAAAGACTGCATGTAAAACACAATTATATCTTACTCAGCAAAAAGACCATAATTTCTTTTGTAATCTCATATAATGATAACTATTTATTATCTATTTATTGCGTTACTTTATTGACTGTGATCATTTAGATTTTTTTTACTCTTTCTCCAGGCTTCAATGTTAACCAACCCAGATGGACCATTTATAAACTTGTCAAGATTAAATCTTGCCAAGTATTCGCAAAAACCTAATTTATCCAGGGTGAGACTGTGACTGTGACTTTCTAAAATTAACCATGATCATTGGTTTTTCCTTACATGTCAACCAACCATCATTTCTTTCCTCAGACACTGTTTGAGTACATCTTCCACCATGAAAATGATGTGAAAAATGTAAGTGTTGCATTATATTTACAGCAAAAAGAATTGGTTAACATTACACTACAAGATTTTGACTGTTGCAACAAAAATGTATTGTTTCACCAGGCTCTAGATTTGGCTGCTCAGGCTACTGAACATGCCCAGTTCAGAGACTGGTGGTGGAAGGTTCAGCTGGGAAAATGTTACTACAGGCAAGTGAATATCCAAAATATATGAGATCAGAATTTCTGAAATTTATAAAAGTAGCCTTTTTATAATCTAAATAATGATTAATATCTTGGACCTCTGCAGGCTTGGTTTATATCGAGAAGCAGAAAAACAGTTTCAATCAGCTCTCAACCACCAAGAGGTGGTGGATACATATCTCTACCTTGCAAAGGTAGTGTAGAGAAATTGTAGCAACACATCAAGTTATCCGCTTATGGAAAATAATGAAAAAAGTTTGCCAATAAATGAAATGAAAACCTTTTATATTTGCATTTGCTTTTAGGTTTATCAACGTTTGGATCAACCAGTAACAGCACTGAACCTTTTCAAGCAAGGCCTGGACCACTTCCCTGGTGAGGTCACACTTCTAACAGGAATCGCCCGCATACATGAGGTACAGTATGTCACCGTGGTCCTTACTATAGTCTCTGCTTAGTCCACTCTCAAGATACAGCTGCCAAAATGCAATAAGGACCTCTGTTTACTGTCTGTATTGTGACATTATCACAGGAGATGAACAACATTTCATCAGCCACAGAGTACTACAAAGATGTGCTGAAGCAAGACAACACCCATGTGGAGGCTATTGCCTGTATAGGCAGCAGTCACTTCTACACTGATCAGCCTGAGATCGCCCTGCGTTTCTACAGGTCAGACTAACCTTTATGTATAATTTATATAACGCAGTGTTACAGAACCTGTATGAAATGAGAAGTTATATCCCATCTGTGATTCAGTACGCTTTTCCCTTCGCTAGACGACTGCTCCAAATGGGGGTGTATAATTGCCAGCTGTATAACAACCTCGGGCTGTGCTGCTTCTATGCCCAGCAGTATGACATGACTCTGTCTTCATTTGAGAGGGCTCTGGCCCTGGTAGCCAATGATGAAGAGCAGGCCGATGTCTGGTACAACATAGGGCATGTGGCTGTGGTGAGTTAACAATGAAGAAATATCCCAGTATGATCTGATAGTTGGCACCCATCTTTATATGGTTTACAGGTCAAATAAATCAAATATTGACTGTTACCAAATAGAACTTGCAAGCATACAATATACAAACAGAAGTTAGTACAAACTGCATGTCTTCTGTGTTTACAGGGCATAGGAGAATTGACACTGGCCTACCAGTGTTTTAAACTGGCTTTGGCTTTCAATAATGACCATGCTGAGGCCTACAACAACTTGGCTGTGCTGGAGCTGCGCAAAGGTCGCATTGAGCAGGTGAAGACATCTTTTAGTGTCATGACTTTTATTCCACTGTTCAAATATGAGGATAAGATAATAGTGCTCTCCTTTTATGCCTTCTAATATGTTACACAGCCCATTATTTAAGAACCATTAAAGTGTCATTATTAATAATGTTAGGGTAATGTAGCCTGTATTAGTAAAAGATATTTATCAAATACACCCAATACAGTACAGATTTTTTTTTAGTGTTCCTACAAGGTGGGTGATAAATCAGTTTAGCATTATTATCATATTTTGAGACAAGATATACAGTGCCTTGCGAAAGTATTCGGCCCCCTTGAACTTTGAGACCTTTTGCCACATTTCAGGCTTCAAACATAAAGATATAAAACTGTAATTTTTTGTGAAGAATCAACAACAAGTGGGACACAATCATGAAGTGGAACGAAATTTATTGGATATTTCAAACTTTTTTAACAAATAAAAAACTGAAAAATTGGGCATGCAAAATTATTCAGCCCCCTTAAGTTAATACTTTGTAGCGCCACCTTTTGCTGCGATTACAGCTGTAAGTCACTTGGGGTATGTCTCTATCAGTTTTGCACATCAAGAGACTGAAATTTTTGCCCATTCCGCCTTGCAAAACAGCTCGAGCTCAGTGAGGTTGGATAGAGAGCGTTTGTGAACAGCAGTTTTCAGTTCTTCCCACAGATTCTCGATTGGATTCAGGTCTGGACTTTGACTTGGCCATTCTAACACCTGGATATGTTTATTTGTGAACCATTCCATTGTAGATTTTGCTTTATGTTTTGGATCATTGTCTTGTTGGAAGACAAATCTCCATCCCAGTCTCAGGTCTTTTGCAGACTCCATCAGGTTTCCTTCCAGAATGGTCCTGTATTTGGCTCCATCCATCTTCCCATCAATTTTAACCACCTTCCCTGTCCCTGCTGAAGAAAAGCAGGCCCAAACCAGGATGCTGCCACCACCATGTTTGACAGTGGGGATGGTGTGTTCAGGGTGATGAGCTGTGTTGCTTTTACGCCAAACATAACGTTTTGCATTGTTGCCAAAAAGTTCGATTTTGGTTTCATCTGACCAGAGCACCTTCTTCCACATGTTTGGTGCGTCTCCCAGGTGGCTTGTGGCAAACTTTAAACGACACTTTTTATGGATATCTTTAAGAAATGGCTTTCTTCTTGCCACTCTTCCATAAAGGCCAGATTTGTGCAGTATACGACTGATTGTTGTCCTATGGACAGAGTCTCCCACCTCAGCTGTAGATCTCTGCAGTTCATCCAGAGTGATCATGGGCCTCTTGGGGACAGGGAAGATGGTTCAAATTGATGGGAAGATGGATGGAGCCAAATACAGGACCATTCTGGAAGGAAACCTGATGGAGTCTGCAAAAGACCTGAGACTGGGACGGAGATTTGTCTTCCAACAAGACAATGATCCAAAACATAAAGCAAAATCTACAATGGAATGGTTCACAAATAAACATATCCAGGTGTTAGAATGGCCAAGTCAAAGTCCAGACCTGAATCCAATCGAGAATCTGTGGAAAGAACTGAAAACTGCTGTTCACAAATGCTCTCCATCCAACCTCACTGAGCTCGAGCTGTTTTGCAAGGAGGCATGGGCAAAAATTTCAGTCTCTCGATGTGCAAAACTGATAGAGACATACCCCAAGCGATTTACAGCTGTAATCGCAGCAAAAGGTGGCGCTACAACGTATTAACTTAAGGGGGTTGAATAATTTTGCACGCCCAATTTTTCAGTTTTTTATTTGTTAAAAAAGTTTGACATATCCAATAAATTTCGTTCCACTTCATGATTGTGTCCCACTTGTTGTTGATTCTTCACAAAAAATTACAGTTTTATATCTTTATGTTTGAAGCCTGAAATGTGGCAAAAGGTCGCAAAGTTCAAGGGGGCCGAATACTTTCGCAAGGCACTGTACATTACTGTAAGAGATTTTGATTACCCTCTAGCAACACAGGCTGTGTGCCTACTTAATATTGTGTAGAGATGCTGTGATTCAAACCACACAAAAATATACCTTGTTTCTTAGTTGCTTTGATTGCATCGTGGCATTAAGATGGTTTACAGTATGTACATTCTCCAGTAAATCAGTAATAGCTATAGTCTTGGAACTAAACTGCCACTGAACTGACAACATGGCCTGCTCCGGCTGTAATTCGTACTTCGCATAGATGTAGTGGAAGCAAGTTCTGCATATACAAATGGCAATTACAATTTTTATGTCAGGTTTTTGCTTCCCAGTCACATTACAATGAAAATAACAAGACTGAAAGGTCTTTTCAGTAAAATTTGATGTCATTGATGCTCTTACTGTCCTATCTTTGATGCAGTCTAAAGCCTACCTGCAGACTGCTGCATCACTGTGCCCTCACATGTATGAGCCACACTTCAACCTCTCCATTCTCTGTGAAACGGTAATTGAACATCTACAACACGCAGTAGGTAACGACACAAGGTATATTTTCACTGATAAACTTTGCCAAAGTGATGTTTTGTCTATGTCCAGATTGGAGACCTTCAGAGCAGCTACACTGCGGCCCAAAAGTCTGAGGACGCCTTTCCCGAGCATGTTGACACTCAACAGCTCCTTAAGCAGCTTCGGCAGCATTTTGCGGTGCTGTGAGCGTCTGGACGGTGCACTCAGTGGAGAGGGGTTTCAGTTTGAGTGATGCTGCTGTCAGAGATCAGAGACCGCTGTGGCAGCCAACAGTCTTCACAACACAAAGTTATTAAAATGGTAAAAGCTTGGCAGATAGTCAGACATGGAAATCAACAAATGAACATTAGGTTTATGTTTATTTATTAAATAGCACATATTTACAAAATTGCCACTTTATTAGGTCCATGTAAAACCAAATTGAACAGAGCGTGTTGTATTCCACTGGAGACAGTACAACAGGAAGAATTTTCAGATAAAACTCTGCACATCAGTTTTGGATTTGGATTTGGATGTGATTGGTCTCTTATCTGTTCATTTGCACTTTTCTGGTGATTCTCCTCTGATCTAAAAGCTGTTTGTATCTACAAACTTCCTGGCCACTGGTAGTTTTTCTTTTCATATAATTCATTGCAGAATGTGAAAAGGCTGGAATGAACACAATTCCCATTTAGGAAGTGGTTAAATTAACACTAAGTGGTGTTTAAAGTGTATCTAAAAATAAATGTCTGTGACATTTGCTGAACTTACACTCTAAACACTGTCACGCAACGTGACTTATAGGATTGTACATGTTGTGTGAAGGCCTGTATAGAGTACAGGTCTGTATAGTAGTGACATGTATGTATGTACATAGTAAAAATGCATGTATTGCAACTAAAAAATTAACTGACATTTTGTAGTTCATTTCATAAATCAGATGTATTTTTTGTATTTTAACCTTCCTTGCTATTTTGTAGTTTCAACAAATATGGACATGACAATAAAAGGAACAATTCACAAGTCTCTTAGGTGGAGTTACTTCTTCATTCCAACTAACTAAAACTAAATGTAACTTTTTTTAATTACATTAACTTGCAAGCCTCGGTGCCATTTCACAAATCCATTTCAAGTCATGATTACATGGAGCATCGTTCCAGGCCTTAAACATGTTGCGTCTGGGATACGTAGCTGCACAGTCCTCATCACCATTGTTGTTGGGCTCGCCGTCATTCCAGAACCTGAAATAAATGATGAGTTACTTTGCTGAACGATAATATGTGCTCTGACACTGCATATTTAAATACTGTATATGATTCATTATTTATTCATTTTATTACTGACAGATGATAGCCACAATTGTAAGTATGTGAATGTGCTATTGCAACCATTTGTAACACTGACAGCTCCTACAGTCTCAATATTTAACTCCACTTTTCAGTGTGTAGCTGTTACCCCTCAGTCAGCCTGGTTCCGTCGAGCCATTTCCAAATCCCTTCATCCTCCACATCTCTCAGGCCAATCCAGAAGCCACTCTGGACAATGGCTCTCGAGGAGTCTTGATAACTATTTATCAAGTTACTTACTGCAAGCTGACAACATCAGAAATGTATACGGACACGTAAACACACACATATAGGCTGCATTTATTTGTTGGCTCCCATGCAACACCAACCTCCTGATCAAAAATCAAATGTAAAGAACTTGGTGCTTTTTGTTTTGGAGGTTTTTTGCCAGAAATATCGATGTGTTGATGCTGAGTCTTACATTTTTCTCTCTGCTGTCTATCACTGCCAAATCAGCTCCTCGTTTCTTACAGAACTCTCTGGCGTCCTGCCATGATCTGCGAGAAAGGGCCTCAGAGAAAGCGAAGTAGTAACACACTGAGTTCATGAAAGTCCATCCTGGTAAGCAGTGTCTGCAGCCTTCCCCTGTTGCCAAATAAAATGGAAACATATAATCTTGTTGGCAGGGGTCATAATCAAATATGTTTTTAATAATTTGATAACACAAGCAACAAATGAAAACGCTCTCACTAATCATTGGCATGTGAGATTTCAATGCTGCAATTTCCATTTGAATTTTGTCACTGTGCTTTTCATAGTCTTTGCTTCTTCTGGTCTGGTGTTCGAGCTCCCACTTGACGAGTTGCTGCTCGGAGATCTCTTTTGCCAGCTGGTTCTTGGCTTCATCCCTGCTCTGGACTGCGGCGTTGTAAGTAGCCTGCAATTTGGCCACCTCACTGCTGATGTCCGCTACTGTGTGGTATCCACCAGTAAGTTTGCTGTCTGTAAGTAGTGAAGACAGTGTTATTCAAAACATCTACACACAACTACACAAAGCATCTGTTTAGAGTTCTTTTTTGTTTGTTTGTTTTTCAGTATCTGTGTCAAAGATCAAGTTAATACATACAACCAGAGGGAATTTAATACAGTTATTGTAGTGTAAATGTAACATTTGCCAGGTGTCATACAGCTAATGCAGGGAGCTGCTGATCTTTAAGAGTGTGGAGGCCACTGTGTCAACTACAGGCTGTGTTCCAGCCAACACATAATAAAGATTTTTCAGTTTTTTATAAACATTCCATTGATATTACCTGTAAAAATAAATAAATCTAGATTTATAAATTTTTAATGATCACTTGGAGGCATTGGAAACAATATGTAAGTAACCAGAATGTTTTATCTTATAAAGTTTAAATGGCAAATACCTTAGCAAACATTTTCTAGCAGACACAGAGCAACATGGGCTTTCATTTGGAGGTCTATTTGTGTCTACTTAATGAATTAAAGTCCAATATTAACTTTTCTCTTAGCTCTGTTTTCATCTCCAATGACTCATCAAGGAAATGTCTGACTGTCTAGCAGTGGTATAAGAACTACGCAAGTTGTCTACTCAAGTAAAAGTCACAATACAACACCGCAAAAACACTATGTTACAATTAAAAGTCCTGCATACAAAATATTACTTAAGTAAATACACAAGAGTATTAGAATCAAAATATACTTAAAGTACTAAAAGTACTTGCAATGCAGATCGGCACATTGCACATCATATTAGACTATAATTACTGATGCATTGTTGTGTTCATCACTTTAATGTTGCAGCTGGAAAAGGTGGAGCCAAAGTTACCTACTGTATCTTATACTTACAACTTAAAGTACTTCACATACTTCTGGATAGCTTGTGAATTTCACACCAAGGATCAATAAAGCTTTATGATTATACTGTGTTTTTTAAATCTGATTAATTAATCTGATTCTGAAAAGTAAGTAGTAAATAAAGCTATCAATGAAATGTAGTGAAGTATGAAGTAGCAGAAAATGAAAATACTCAAGTAAAGTAGGCCTCCAAGCTATACTTAAGTACAGTACTTGAGTAAATGTACTTAGTTACTTTCCACATCTGCATTTTAGTTGGAAAATGTACATGGTGTACACTGGGCTATCAAAGCTTTGTCACTGAAAACAGCTGCATGCTTCAGATGGAGACACTGCTGATAAGAGAGTGAACCAAAACAGTACATTTGTGGGCCGTAAAACTGAAACAGTGGGTTCAATGATGTTAAAAGGCCACATAGACTGAAGAGAGCTGCATGTGATCATTCTGGGTGGGTGACATTTTTTATATTACACAGTCATGTGAACCATCATTAACAGAAACACACTGATTATAGCAGCTTTAAAGTAAATCAGATTTTCCTACTATGTCACACCTGTACCTCTTTTGTTGTCTTTTGTTTCTCGCTGATGAACTTTATTTCCAACCTTTCAAATCCTAATGTTATTAATTGTGAAAATGTTACCTTGTTGTGACCTCACGACAATCCAAAACCACAATATTGTAAATCTAGAAGCTGTTGATGGGTTAGCAGTGACTTACAATAGGCTCCCAGGCCAATATCAACTGCCAGTAGAATGAGAGCAAGCACTGCCAGGCTCACTGCAAGCTGTTTGTAATGATTTAGACTGGATTCAGGTCTCAGCATGGACATGGACACTACACAGAGAGGTGGTGAATCAATACCAGAGCCATAAACTGCATCACGATGTGGTAACAATTCAACAGTATTAAAGTAATACACAGACAACTGACCAAAATATATCTTACACCTTTCTAAGAACATTTGTTTTTACTTCATCTTACATCTGTATCTTGTTAAACAGGGGCTAAAACCAATAAAGCATGCATTTTTTAAACTTATAGCAAAACAAGGATGCATATGAAGAATGACACAGAAATTAGAATGTGTTTCCAGTTTCCAGTAAAATCAGAGATCAATATTAACGAATGAAATAAACACAAACAGCTTCTTGTTGATGTACACATTCAATAATTCACTTTATATTTGCAATACCTTGTTGCTTATCTTGGCTTGAATAGAGAGGATGCTCATCTGTGCTGAATTCCTCTTGATAAACCAGTTTGTTATAGACGCCATCAAAAGTGCCACCCAAATTTTCTTTGTCTCCCATTGTGACTGTTAAGATGAAATCAGTCTAACGTGTTTGTTCCAGAGAGACTGTTTGTCAGGTCATTGTCCTGTGTGTGTGTAACACTACAAACAGAAAATCAAGTTCATTTGTTAAATATTTACAGGGGGTGTCATTTTCTGGCCACCTAAAAGAGACGATTTCTCGTTTATCCAGTTTATCTGACATGATTCTTTAGTTATTTCTTTTTGTTTCATTGAAACAAGAATGACCTGTTGTACTCACCAGGATGAACCCAGCTCATTTATTCAGCTATTGGTATACACCTCCAGGGGAATCAATCAACACGTTAATGAAATGGTACCATGAGCATGTTTATTTGGTTCTACTGAGTATTGTAAAGATTTTTGGCATTTTTGCACCTCAAACAGCTGAATATAATTATTGCAGGGCAACTACTGCAGTGCACACACGTCTTCTCATTCCATACATACCTGAAGAAGTGAAAAATATCACATACAGTGTCTTTGATATTGTGCTGTAGTTTGTTCATTTGTACAATTTTTGCCTAGACTCACACAAGTTGCTGTTCAGTTACTGTGACTTGGGAGATCTCACGCCTGCACTGGCTCCTTCTCACATATCCAATTCAGTAGATGGTCTTGGCAGTTTCCATTGTACCATGTACCCCTGGCATCAATATAATAATAAAATGCAGCACAGTTCCCACTCTGAGGTCCACTAGGGTTAGGCTGTCCAGATCTCCAGTACCTTGAACAAATCAAAATTATTCAGATCAGAATTTAGTTCCATTGTATTTGTTAGTCATGACGATTAGAATTCAAACTATAGCAATTAATAGTGATAACAGTCCAGTCTGTGAGGTGCTTACATTGTTTCTGTCTCAGTCACATTGTTAACCCAGACCCATGTTCCCCGCATGATGACGCCAGTGAGGCCGATCCAGAATCCATCCTGCCACCACATACCGCTGCTGCTCACTTTTGGGAAGTTGTCAGTTATGAGTTGCTGTAAGAAAGCAGACACAGGAGTTGATACCCTAATTGTGTAAATAAATCAAATAGATTCTAAAGGTTCTGAAAATGTGTTTTCTCATTAGATCTTTACTTGGAGTGATGGGGTGCAAGTCTGACATTAGGACATATTTTCTCCTTTTTCATATTTATGTCTTTTTCTCACTGGCTTGCAGGGCCCAGATGAAAACAGTTTGATGTGACCTACATGCTCCTATCAGGGCGAAACTATTTGAATCGAACTGTGATGAGAGTTGTGTGGTTGTTTTTTTACTCAGGGGTGGATCTAGAAAATTTTGAATAGGTGGCCAGGTTGTGGGCACAGACTCAAAGAAATACATTAAAAGTAAATTAACAATAAATCAGACATTATTAAGAATCAAATTGTTTATTCTGTGTAAAAATGAGATACATATAGTGCTTTCTTTAGCTAACTTTGGCTGCACTCCTTATTTACTCCTGGCTGGGGGCATCACTGCTGCACAGTTGTTCACCTCACTGAGGCAAATCATGCCAAGTGCTCCACAAAAACACAATCAGGAAATGAATGCAAAGATCATGCTGCATGCATGACATAAAATAAAACTAATTTGACATAAAATAAAACTAATTTCACTAATATCAATTATAAAGGACTAGAAAATGTTAGTTGCATTTAAGGCAACACTTTTTTATTTTTCATTCATTAATGTGATGAGCCTCACATTTTGACTGTGGCAGGGGTGGCACCAGGGGTGGCCAATCAGATTCTGTGGGTGCCCAGTGCCACCTCTGGCCACCCCCAAGCTCTGCCCATATTCTTATTGTGTGTTTCCAGGTGAATGGCAGTCAAATCTCATCATACCATCCTCTGATGAATCAAAGGTGTGAATATGTCAGGAACACCCTGCTATAATCAAAATATAAGTTATTACTGTAAGAGTTTAACACTAAGGAACTCAACTAATCTAAGTTGATATGATGAACCTGTTAGCAAACAGTTGCTTATTTAATACATCCAGAAAATGTACTAATGTATAGTTATTACAGTAACTATAATAATATTCATCATAAGTAATATCTAACACTCAACCAATGTGTCAATCAGTGCTGCTTCTAGCAGTTTATTCATGGTTGATTTTAGGTTCCTAAGACACCTAGTGTTTTTTAAAATTACACGTGTGCGATGACATATCTTTTATTTTTTCTGATGACAGCATTAGGCCTTACATTCATTTTATTTAACACATTTTTTTAAAAACATCATGAAGACCTTTTATATGTGAGCAAGTGAACCATAAAAAGTCACTTTCATGTAAAATAAAGCTAAATAAAATGATTAAAAAGTATAAAATCAGATGTAGACACACACAAAAAAGAGAGTTAATATTTTTAACTTATATCCTTCACTGACCTACCTGCTCCCCAAAGTTATTGATCATGAGCAGGTCACCCCCACGACTAATACAGTCTGCTCTGCTATCCGGCCAGTTCTTTTTGGAGTCGGGCACATGAGAAAAATAATAGCAGGATGATTTAAGAAGAATCCATCCTGGTTGGCATCTGTCACAGGTTTCCTCTGTTGCAATAACAGATTGAAAAAACATTTTTGGTCAAAGACAGTTTTTGATATTCTCTAAAAAAAAATGTGTTCTCGCAGTGGAGAAAGTTTGACCATAAGAATTGCCACCAAAGACAGTGGAAGTCAGTGGCCTCACCTAAGGTAGTTTTATTAATCTGCAGATTTGTCTTCTCTGTAAGTAGTGTCTCAATTTTTTTCTGAAGGACGTCAGTGCTGGTCTTCTTCTGCTTCACTTGCAGCTTTAGTTGCACATGATTGGTGCGCTCTCTGGCTAATGCTGCCTGGGCCTCCAGTTTGGCTCTGATGATATCACTCTGGTTGCGGAGATAGTTTCGCTCAATAATGAGTGGCGTAGCAGCTGCCTGATCAGTCTGAAGGTCTTTGGCTTTGGCACCTGAAGCATAACGATTGTAATAACTTAGAGAGAAAGACTGGTGCATGAAGTCAATGTACATTTTTTTAACCTCACTAGCACTGTATCAGCTGATCAGTCCACCACTGGTCTAACCTGAACAACTGTTGGACTTTTTTCAAGAACCACGAGCAGGTCAAAAGTTTCACTTACCCAGCAAAATATCTCATCATCAATATAATGAATTATCTTTTCATTCATGGTTCCAGATGTTTCAATGTGAATAGTAACTTGATTTATGACGAAATACCTACAAGACGAATGACAACTCCATCTGCTTTAGCTGTTCTTATGGTTTAGTACTTATTAGAAAATGTATTCTAACAAATTAAATTAAGTAAGTAAATGTTATATGTCATTGTGAGCATGCCAGCATCAGTTTACTGATATGCCACATTAAACTGCACCACAACAGGACTGCATTCAATTGAATTAAACCATTTGCTGTGTAAACGTTTGGCTAGTTGTACTGTATCATTCACTGTGTATTGAGATCCACATCCAAATGTCTCACTCTAACTTTAAAAAAAAAAGAAGTTGTAAAACAGCCACTAGATGTAATGCCTTGGAATATATTACAGTAACAACCTTGCACATTCATATTTTGATATTTTAAAATTCAACAATCTAACTCCAATTTCAGAGAATAGGGACAACATGTCAGATACAGGCAATCAGCAGTTTGCTGGGATTTACTCACAGTAAATCCCGATGACAGCAGCAGCTATGAGCAGAACAGCATTCAGCAGGCCCAGGCTCAGTAAAACCAGTCGGTGGGTTTGAAGGGCAGACCCATCTCTCTTTGTAAACACACCTACAAAATATTCCTGAGTTAAAAGCCTAATAATTTATATCATAATAATAAAATTAAGAGCATTATCCTGTAAACATTTTACTTTTTGATAGGTTAATAGGACAAAGGATAAATACTATTATATTTAGAATTTTAGTTTTAGACCACAGAATATATTTAGATTAGATTTTAATGTGAGTTGTACCTTGTCCAAATGTCCAATAGCGGGAACGTGAATGTCCATCTGTGCCGAAACTCTGAGAAATCCCCAGTTCAGATGATGTTTCCTGCTCTGACTGTGGCTCCATTACACTGTTGCAAGTCGTACCGATTGATCTGTTTGTCTACTGTTTATAAAAGTGACAAGGGCTGTGTGTGTGTCTGTGTGTGTTTGGGGCCTTGCTTATATATACTTATAGGGACAGAACACTGGGAGCACACTGCTTTGTGGGAACTGGAAGTCACCAGAGGCTGGGCCCCATGACGAATTCAGTGAATTTTACAAAAATGACGGGGTGTAAGGTTAGAGCAAATGTCAGATTTTGTTAAAGCTAGGGTAAAGGTTAAAGTTATGTAAGTAGTGGTTCTGGTTAAGGTTAGGGTTAGTCTCCTGGAAATGAATGTAAGTCTCTGTATAGACCCTCTAAGTGACAATTCCAAAGGTTTGTGTTTGAATCCTGTTGTCTTTGTGTGTATGTGTGGACCCTAGGACAGACAGACAGACAGACAGACAGATATGCTTACTCAGCATACTGCTAACAAGTATCTCCACTGTACTTTAATGGCTTTTAATAAAAACTTGTACTTAAACACAGGTTTATCTTTTGAATGAATTGTTGGCCAATAAATATTTTTTTCATCTCTTTAAATTATCGACTTTCCTTCACTGTCATCAAAGCTCATTTATAGCTATCATTCTATGCTTGTCTTGCCATTTCAATACCTCTGGAGTCACTCTCTTCAGTCTGCTCTTTTCCCTGCCTTCCAGTTTTTGGACTTTGCCTGTTGCCTGCCCACATGATCACCTAGTGTTTTTGCCTGCCTGTTGTCACCCTTCACCTGCTTGTTGGCTTTCACTGTGCCATCCAACTATTGCCTGCATATGCATCTTTGTAAATAAGGGTGACCTCTGAACTTTTATTACCTGGCATCTCTGAGATGTGCATTGTCTGACCCATACACATCACAACTGCAGATTCTATGGCTCGTTAAAACCTGAGAAATCAGTAAGTCTTGTTAAACATACCACCTTACGTTTATACTGTAAATAATTTATAGGCCATTAAAATTCATCTTTATTGCTCTGCAGACTTAGCCATCAGGCAGCAGTACATCAGTTTATTAAATGTTTTCTTATTATTTTTTAATAGTATCATTCACATGTATACATTGTGTATGTATATAATCACAGCTCTGATTTGGTAAAGGCTATTCACTACATAAAATGTTATGATGAGTGAACTCTTAAAGCAAACAGTTAATGCAGTACAGCAAATGCTGTTCAATTTCAGCTCAAAGAAGTTGCTGCTCTTTCACAAATCCATTTCTTTGTAGTTCCGCATGTATTATCCATCCAAGCTTCGAAGAAGTTATTGCTGGGATACACTGCTACACAGTCTTCATTGGAGGAGACAGTACTTGGTTCTCCCTCAGTCCAGTACCTGGAGCAAATATAGTGCAATACTGTAGGTTACTTGACAGAGGCACAGTATTTGCTTTTTCTCACTTCACATTTTGCATTTTCCAATTCTTGGACAAAAACCTGCTCTCACAAATGAGTGAAAGTCAAAAATAAAAAGTTATAAATCAGTCATGAAAACCATCTGACAGAAAACCTTTAGTTGATTTGGAGGTCGCTCAGATGAATTTTCAAACAATGATTTTATTGAATTGTCTAAACAGTTTTCCACATCTTGATAATATCCAGGCTGTCAGTCATGTCAAATTTTTATGACCCCAGACCTGAGTGTGAGGAGCTAGCTGAATGTAAACAAAGCTGAGAGCACACACAACATTTCTGACTCTGACCCGTAGTATCTTCAGGAAACTATGGCTGCTCAGAGCCTTTGAGGCACTATAGTCAGGTCTGGGGTTTTGTAATGAAAAAACATGCCACCCAGTGCAGCGGTGTGTTGCCCTGATGGGTTTTTAACTGTTTTTGAACAACAGCAATGGAAATCTATCACACAGATGAACAAGCTAATCCAGGACTGACAAGTGACAGACATTAACTATGAGTAGAGGTAATTCATTGTTGGCTTTAGTATCTGTATGTAGATCGCTGAAAACATTACAGTATTAATATAGAAAGTTACCAGATCTTTCCTTTAAGATTCATCAGGGAAAATAGAACCCCTTCTCACTCCAACTAATCATGCTTACCATCATTAGGAGATTGCTTGAAAAAATGCTAATTGAATTCTTTGTGACCTGATTTTTACCAGGGTGGCATGATGGCGCAGTGGTTAGCACTGTTCCCTCACAGCAGGAAGATTACGGGTTTGAGCCGACCCTGGGACTTTATGATGACAATTTCCTACAAAAAAATCCTTTTTTATACATTCTCACAGTGCAAAACTAATTTAATGCTTACGCTTCAACCAGATGTGTTCCATCCACCCATTTCCAAGTCCCCTCCTCTTCCTTATCACTCAGTCCAATCCAGTGGGTATGTATGGAATGTGGGTTCGAGTTATTTCTCAAGAAATTTACTATTGATTTCTAAATGAAAAATATAAACAGCATTTAAAAAATACAAATACATTTTTTACATGAAAAAAAATTCAACAAAGTAATAACTAACCTCTTTGTCTTTGCTGTCTATGACTGCAAGATCACCTCCATGTGTCTGGCAAAACTCTCTGGATTGTTTCCAGTTTTTCACTATGGTATTTTCTGAGTCAGGGAAGTAATAACATACTGACTGCATGAAAATCCATCCTGGTGGACAGTGTCTACAGTTATCAGCTGTTGGCAAAGAAAATAAAATGAATGTGAATAACAAAAGACTTTTATAAAACACATCATTGTGCTTTTAATATACTGTCTAATGTACAACAATAGTAAAACAGGTCTCACTAATCACTGGTAAGTGGGTTTTCATTTCTGCAATCTGCTTTGTAATTTGATCAATCCGTGCAGCATATTCAGTTGTTCTTTTTGTTTGGTGGTCAAGTTCCCACTTGGTTGGTGTCTGACGACTCAGCTCACTATCCAACTGCTTCTTGGCACTGTTCAGGGTTTCAACTGCAGTCTTGTAAGTATCCTGGAGCTGGTACACTTCACTGATCATACGGTTTACATCATCGAATGTGAGGTGGGTATCAATGAGTTTTTTGTCTGTAAATTTTGAAGACCAACAGTATTACTGCAGCACATGTACATTCTCTCTTTTATTTCCTCCGTTCTCTCTCATTTCAAGTAACACACACCCACACACACATATTTCAGCCAAATAACATACTGAAAAATTGTTAATAACCTTTACATATAATAGGTTCCATTTGAGTCAATTTGAGCAAAGAATAGTGCATTGTGTCCAGAGAAACTTCATATTTTAAGGTTATAACAGAAAGATTAGTTCAACATGCACATTTGTCAAAATTACTGCAGACATACAGTATAAATGGTATATCAAGAGCTGAAACTATTGAGATTATCATTAAGTCATTTAAGTCCTTTTAAAACAAACTTTTTATGAATTCCGGCTCTTAAATAAGATATTTTGCTACATTTTCCTGTCTTATATTAGAGCTAATAAAAATTTTTTTGGGTTCTAGACAGGTTGGACTGACATGAACATTTATGTATTTTTCCCCACATTTAAAAGACCAAGCAATAAATGAGTGAATTAGGAAAACCTTCAGTAGAAAACATATTATAATGAATACAATCCTTAGTCACAGTCCTATGCAGTAACACAGACTTACAGTGGACCCCCAGGCCAATATCAACTATTAGCAGAACAGCAGCGAGTACCGCCAGGCTCACTGCAGCCGCTTTACAAAGTCTCCCAGGTATCATGTTGCGCTTGAACGCTAGACAGAGAGATCATGAATCAATAACATAACTGTATCAAACTGTACAAGCAATACACTGATTAAAATTGTACATATTGTAAAAATATTTGAATTTTCAGTTTATACAGACTTTATAAACTGCTCAAAAATATTAAGAGGAAACTCAAATCACACATTGGATCTTGGTGAATGATTTATTCAAATTCAAAAGTTTTACTAATTATAAATTGTTCAGAACAAAATGACAAAACAGTCAAAGAAAACCAAAATCATCAAGGGGCTATATTCAGAATCAGAATCTGCTTTATTGGCCAGGTGTGATGGACACACGAGGAATTTGACTCTGGTACATTGGCTCTCAATGTGCAAACAGTAAACCAGCATAAGGCTGTGTAATATAACAAAATAAGCAGTATTAACAGCAGCACTGACAGCAACAGACAGTTCAAAATCATATTGAAAATCAAAGTGAAAAATTTGAAATTACAGGCTCATCCAAGTTGTGTGACAACTCATAATGTGACTCAGAAGTGCGCATGGCCGCCATGTGCCTGTATGCAGACCCGACAACATTCAGGTGTTCTCTAGCGAATACCACCTGAGCTGCTTAGTCCTGGGCTGTGAGTACAGGTCATACTAGAGGACAATGAACTCCTGCCACCCCTATGGAGTCTGTTTCTGATTGGTTAGAAACATGCAGACCAGTAGCTGCTGGAGGTCATTTTGTAGGGCTCTCGCAGTGAGCATCCTGTTTCTCCTTGCACAAAGGAGCAGATACCAGTCCTCTTGCTGGGTTGTTGCCCTTCTCCTGGTATAACGGGCTGCAGGTATTGCCTCATGCTACCAGTAGCAACAAGAACACTAAACACAAAACTTGAGAAGAATCAGTCAAGAAGGGTAAGGAGAGTGCATGTGTCTGTGGCCACCATAGACAATCCCAGTCCCTTTGCTTTTGCCTCTCCATTGCACCTCTTTGTCAGTTTAAATTTGATGAAACCAGCTGAAACTGATTCACAATTGCTTAGACAAAAAAACAAATTGGTATTCCTGAAGGTTACCTGACTTGGTGTTATACACTGATGATTAAGTGTTCCCTTAATTTTTTTGAGCAGTTTATATGATGAAAAAAATCCTATAAGAGCCATGCAAACCATTCACTTAGTAGTAACTTCACCATTTGTTATCAGCACTATTTTAAAACCTGTTAAAGAATCAAACTGAATCAGAAACCTGTTTATGTTAATTGTATTGTGCACAGTAAATGATAAGTCACTCTACCTTGTTGGCTGCCTTGTTTAGGGTGGGGGTAAGAATCGCTGTCATGCAAATCCTCTTCACAAATCAGTTTATTAAACCCCCCATCAGAACTACAACTGGACACTTGTTCCCTCTCCATTCTGATTGTTTAGCAGAGATCAGTCAAATGAATGAGTAAGGGGGAGATCAACTGTCAGGACATTGCTTTGTGCTGACTCTTAAAGATACAATGCTGAGCTCATCATAAATTTGTGAGAATCTAATTTGAGTTAAAACTGTTATTCATGGGAAGAGAGAAGTGAAATTTTTATTAGCAATATATAAGATATAATACATTTCACAACTGGTAACAAGACATGGATATACATCACCTGTGAAATTATTTAAGGAAACCACTCAAGTACAGGCCTTAAATTAAACAAATAGGGTGAATTGGCCTAATGTGGGACACGTTTTGCATTTTCTGGGCTATTTTGCAATATGAAGCCGCTACACCAAACCCCCATCCAGTTCCATTCTGAATCTTAATCATACCAAAAGAGAAAAAAAATGCAAATATCATTAATCACTTAAGTTAAATGCAGCGTCCCATGTTCAGTAATTTTACTACTTCCTGTGTTATTGTTGCCAAAACCCTACAATATCGGTGTGGATGTTACATGGCCTCAACCTCAAACAAACAATAAAGTATAATTGTTTTGATGCATTTATTACAAAAACATCAGCCTATATTATCATATCTGCCATGCAAAATTAAATGTTAGCTAAATAAATTTTTGAACCTGCTGTGAATTGCAAAATTAAAATGTTAAAGTATTAAACTGTTTAAAATGTTGTCTAACCATATAACCTTAATAGGCATATTTGAAGACCACATATCAAACACACACACATGCTGATGTTTGGCACGTAATGTTAATATGCCAATGGAAGTTTGGAGTGTTAGTGTACTTAACGTTCCTGCTATTATGAAACACAAGGAACAGCTGCAGCTTGCTCTTTTACAAAACCACATATTTCATAACACTATGCCAAACATGCTTTTGAAATCACATCTTGGTTTGGTTGTGCAATAATATGTGTATGTCAGTAAAAGGGTTAAATCTGTGCTCGTTACATAAACGGCCATTAACTGGTAAGGCATTTTCAAATTCATGTGTCCCTGTTTCCATTAATGGACCCAATCCCAAATATGTCCCTTATAACAATTATCAGTTTAGTCAAAGATAATGTTAAAGTTATTATAGAGATTTAGATAAAGACCTAAGCACAACAGGCAGCTGAATTTGGAAAAGTGTTGACTTACTAGTAAATTTGGGTTGGAAAATTTCATAAATCTAGTGCATTATAGATTAATCCACACCCACCTTTGTTTTTTATGTGTATTCTAAGGCTACTGTCAGCATTTGTCACTGTTGTAGTAGGTCATTATTTGATATGTACACCCTCACAAAGATAACTGTTATTATTATTTTATTTATTTTTTGTTTGCTGAAATATAAAAGCAAAAAAGTATTGTATCATCTCCTGCAGGGTAGCTACTAGCAGTGTACACAGGCATCTGTTAGTATATCACAAAAGGAGTGTAAACATAAAATTAGAATGTTTTCAGGTGAAAAGTGGCAGGAAGAACAGTAAAACTTTTGAGGGCATTTTATTCTTACAGTTTTGAACACATGCTTATGTTTTCTGCCTGAGTAGTATTTCATAAGTGTATTCACACATTATCTTGGCGGCATTTCACAGATCCAGTATAACTCATGAATTTGGCACTTCCCATCATATCGGGTCTTCCAGGGATTTGAGGAACTATATGATACAATCCCACAATCCTCTCCTTCTATTCCATGGTTGTTTGGTTCTCCATCCACCCAGTACCTTAGAGAAATCAAAATCATGGTAACAAGTGATCACGTGTTTTCATCAAATTGATGTAGCAAACTGAAAATAATTAATAATGACCTGTTGTTCATACAGCATTACAAGTATAATACTGCGGCTCATACCTTTGTTCCACCTCAGTGACATTAGTAATCCACACCCATGTCCCTTCTGTCTCTATGTCAGTGAGACCAACCCAGGCTCCATTCTGCCAGGTAATGTCACCTTGCACGTTTGTTACAGTGACACTCACAAATGCCTGTGTAGGCAAACAAAGTGTTGGCAGATTCAGATGTCCAATTTGTAAAATTCAAATATTCAATATATTCTTTCTCATTTATTTTTAACCCACCTGCTCCTCGGGGTTATCGATCACGACCAGATCAGCCCCGTGACTTATGCAGTCTGCTCTGCTGTCTGGCCAATTCTTTCTGACAGTAGAAGACTCCACATAAGAAAAAAAATAGCAGGATGAGTTGTGAAGAATCCATCCAGAGAGGCATTTGCCACAGCTTCCCTCTAGAAGAAACAAAATGCCTGTTGTCACTTTAGGTGTTTTTAGTAGTCTAACTTGAAAACAAAAATAAAATAATAACTTTCATGTCAGCCAAAAAACAAACAAGCATGCATATAAGTAGGTTAGGTATATAGTCGTGTGGTCATAGGCCAATCAAATTCAAGGGTAAACCTGGTGAAAGGGTGACAGGTGTGTCTAAATGTTTGCTGTACCTTAATATTCTAACTTAACAGATTAAATAAAAATTATATTTCAAACACAATACAACTCTGTCTTACCAAAAGCTGATATATTGGACTGCAGATTTTTCTTCTCTGTTCGCAGTGTCTCAATCTGTCTCTGATAACCATCATTGAGGGTCTCATGCTGCTCAACTTGCATCTTTAACAGTGTATGGTTTTGGAGCGCCCTTTCTAAATCCTTCTTGGCCTCCTCTTCAGCCTTGATCACATCGCTGTGGTTGCTGCGGAGGTTGTTCAGCTCACTGATAAGCTGTGTTGCAGCTGAGTGAGAAACCTGGAGGGAGTCCTTGATTTTAGCACCTGAAGAAGAGGTGAGAACACAATGACACAAAGAAACAAAGAACTGTCGAAACTGTGTGAGGTGAATTTTCACACTTATGTATTTGTGTAAAAAAATAAATTTTCCAATGTATATATTTATAATGTGTAATTGTTATGTGTCTATGATTTTCTGTAAAAAAAAAAAAAAGGTTTGTGCACTCTGTTGAACTCCCAATAATTTAATTCAATAGAAGCAGCAATGTTTCGATCTATACAGGATCTTCATAAAGCATTATCAAAGGCTTTGCTAATTAATTTAAACTTACAGTTTAAGTTGAACGACTTTTTATTAACATGCCCAAAAATGTACTGAATTCTAGTTCTGAATGGTGAAATCTGTCATCCTCTAAAGAGTTTTTAACTTTCAATTCTAAAACTTAGGACTGCAGGATATGTGTCTATGATTTTCTTTAAAAAAAAAAAAAAAGGTTTGTGCACTCTGTTGAACTCCCAATAATTTAATTCAATAGAAGCAGCAATGTTTCGATCTATACAGGATCTTCATAAAGCATTATCAAAGGCTTTGCTAATTAATTTAAACTTACAGTTTAAGTTGAACGACTTTTTATTAACATGCCCAAAAATGTACTGAATTCTAGTTCTGAATGGTGAAATCTGTCATCCTCTAAAGAGTTTTTAACTTTCAATTCTAAAACTTAGGACTGCAGGATATGGTTCTTCTTACCATTGCTAACTCTGAGAGACGAGACAGTCCAAGTAACTTCAAACCAGTGCTGATTTATTCAAAGGATCACAGGTAAAATTAACATTACACGCTCAGGTATCTTGCACCTCCAACCTGCTCGCAGGCAGATATAAGATGAAAGGCCCTGAACCCACCAGGCCTATACATTATATCCCCTCGGTTGGGCTAGCCCCATACTACACAGAAACGTCAACCGAGACGTCTCTGTTACCAGCTTTGCAGCTGGTCATAACAGTAGTCAAAACATGAAGAAAATCAATGTGTGTGTGTCTGTTGATTAAGTGGTGTGTAGCTAAAAACATTCTCACACGACCTCTAGTAACATGTCGTGACATTAAACATAAGAACATATTATGGCTAAGGCTACAGTTATACACATCATAATAATAATATTAAACATCCTGTCTGCTGACAGTCATCAACTCTTCTCTCTAGTTATCCTTGACCAGATGTACCCTGTAGAAACTCATAAGCACAGAAAGGCCCCAGGTTGGCTCAGGCTCAAACCCAGAACCTTCTTGCTGTGAGGCGACAGCACTAACCATCACGCCACTGTGCCACCCTCTGGGTATGAAATGTGCTTTATAAATAAAGCTGCCTTGCCCGTGTTCAACAAAGGAAGCTACAATTTCTAAAGCATTCTGAAAAAAGCTAAATCAGCATTAAGCTTCTTGTGTTAGGGGTCAGTTCAGTTTTGTCATATACAGCAAAATTCCAAGGCAGAAGGAAATTAAAATTTTATCATATGAACAGTCGCACTCACATTTAACCCCAACAACTCCAGCAACTATCAGCAGAACAAGGTTCAGCACCCCAAGGCACAGCGTGACCCGTCGACTACATCTATCTCCACCTGTGACATTGTAAAATAAACAAAAATCATTTAGAAGTATGTGTCAGCTATGTGCTGGGTGATAACTATAATAAATGGCATTAAAGCTGCACTCCCTGAGACCTCATAGTAAGACTTGGTCCAATAAATTATCTCCAGCACTGCCCTTCACTTATTCATAATAATAATAACAGTAAATTAATTAAAATCACAGACATTAGAAAATCTTGAAATCATACCTTGGGGAAATATTTCATAGCAAGGGTGAGAATGTCCATCATTGTTGGAGAAAACTGGAGCAGCCACTGGTATAAATGATACTTCCTGCCCATTATCGGTCATCCTCTGTGGATTCTCCATTGTGGTGCTGTGGGCATTGCCAACTGGTCTGTCTGTTTCCTCCTTTTATATCTGCAAAGAAGATGAGTGTGTTCTGAAAGTGAATCCACCCCTAAACAACTGTTGGTTGGTGATGTTGAGTGCATTGCAATTGTTTTCCTAAGAGAATTAGATGTTGCATAGAGAACACAGGGGAAGTACGTGTTACATTGTCGGAGGGTTTTGTGTGTGAGTGTGTGCACATGCTACACTTCTTCAGAAACTCAGGAATGTGTTGGAAGGTTCTACTGACACATGGTACTTTGAGCTGGATGCTACTGTCAGCATGTTAACATGCTGATGTTTAATAGATAATTTTATCAGAGCTAGAAGTCACAACCCCACAGGCCTTACTCCATCATCTGAACTTTGTTGGTTCTCCATCCTTCCAGTATCTTTAGAAAATCAAACCATTCAAAAATATTAAATATTCAAAATACAATTATAATTTTAAAGTATACAATTACTAGAGCATTGCTGCAGCTCTCGCCTTTGATCCACCTCGATGGTATTATTAATCCCCTCTGTGTCTGTGTCAGTGAGACTGATCCTGAGTCCTGAGAGCCAGTTATCACCTGCCAATTTCTCCTCCTGCCCTTCGCTTCCGCTTGGATAACATCACTCTGGCTGCTACCGAGATAGTTCAGCTTACTGATGAGCAGTGTTGCAGCTGAATGAGAAACCTGGAGGGAGTCCTCCCTGAAGAAGAGGTGGGAACACAATGACACAAAGAGCCAAGGAAATGTGTGTGGAGATGTAGTCAAATACCCATTTTTACTAAAATGAACACTAAAGTTGTACAATGTTCACCTTTTGGTTAAGAAGTATGTGACAATTGATTGTATTAGGAGAACATTTTACAAAAATGTATGTCTGACTTTCAAATGTGTAAGTAACACAACTAGATTTGACATAAAAAAGCATATAATTCCTAAATAATTAAAATTTATTTTAAAAAATATGCATTTCCAAATATTCCTATATAATATTTTTTTCTGTGCTTAATGTAGCTCAGGGCATTGTCTAAAATGTGTTTAAAATAACTTTTGTGATATTGTTTTCATAAAAGACAAAAAGCGTCTGTTCAGCTGTTTAATGTGTGAAATTCCACTGAAGAGGAAAAACTTTTTGTCAATTGTCATACTCACATTTAATGCCAATAACAACAGCACCTTTCAGAAAAACCACATTCAACAGTCCCAGACACAGTATAATGCGTCGGGAGCTGGGGAAAGTGGGTCCACCTGTAATTGCAGTACATAAAACTGTTTTAATTCACTAAATAATGCTTCCAACAAATAAAAGAAAATGTTTTCCCTCATTGTGTTATCCATTTTCTATACATTGAAAAATTACATCTGAAAAACACAATAGTAACATGACTTTTCAAAAATAATATCTTGGTTCCTCAGTATAATCCAGAGAAAATCTGAATATTCTGTCTAACCTGACTGTACATTATACCAATACATGCACAGTGATTTTACATTACAACAAGCTACAGAAATATAATTATTATCATTGAGGTCTGGCTGCACATTTACCACATTCTAGCATTTTAATAAGCACAATGAATTTGTCCCACGATCTGAGAAACTAAGAAATGGTAAATAAAAAAAAAAAAAAAAAAAAGACACAAAAAACAGCAAATGTGTCAGACACCGCAGGACCTTTCAAACTCATACCTTGTCCAAATATTCCACGAGTATGGAAATGTCTGTCTGCACTGATATTTGCCCTTCTTTGTGGATTCTCCATAGCTGTGCAGTGAACTGCACACTGTTCTGTTTGTCTGCTCTTTTATATCCACAAGACACAGAGTGGGTTCGAGCATGAGTTCCTCTTTGTATTTGTGAACTTACCTCCCTTTTTTAGTTATGCGTGGACGTATACAGTAAGTTCAGGGGACTTATACTGTATAAATTCATGTTACACACGGCTTGCCTCCAGCAAGAATACATCAAGCTGGAAGCTGGCATGCCAAGGCTTTATGATGGGGGAAAGTGTGCTTCTGCTGATGCTCAGTATTTGGCTTACACAATGTTTTACACATTGTTTTTAGTTGTACAACTCAAGATGTCATGTGTTTTATTCAAGAGTAACATTTTTGTTCCACTCATTCATAAAGTTGTGACTGATGGAGTAACCACGCCACTCATGTTAATATATAATCAATGCATTTATTCATGAGTTAATACACATATAAACAATATATTTTGCTACAGAGGACATTTGAGTATCTGTCTTCTCGCCACATCCTGTATGTTGTCTTGTTTGACACGTGAACTAGTTGGGTCCCATTTCACACAGCCATTCCTTAGTCACATCACACTGTCCATCAAACCATGACTTCCTAGGGTTGTCTCTGATCATAAGTGCTGCACAGTTCTCACCATAGGACCCATAGTTGTTGGGTTCCCCTTGTATCCAGTACCTACAGGAAGGCTCAAGTTATACTTTTACTGTAGATGTATTTTTTTGTTGCTGTTGTTGTTAATTATCCGAAATCTGGAATCATGTTACAATATAACTTGCATGTAGAAGTCATTAACAGGTCACCACTGAAAATCTGTCCACTTTGCTACAGCGAAACTGTTTTAATCGCATATTTTTCATATGTGGTGATTTTGAAAAGATTTTAGTCAGTATAAACAGGAAGATTCAACTTGCGCTTTAATGATTGTCCTAATTTTACATCTATTCAAAAAAAACATTTTGTAAGGTTTATGGTCATCTTTGGTTGTGATATTTACATCAGCCCATCTCAAATGCATTACCACAGTATAGGTAAGTTCTAAAGCTCTTACCCTCCATGCTGCAGGGTCACATTATTTACCCACACCCACGTGCCCTCTTTCTGAATATCTGTAAGGCCAATCCAAATTCCTGGAGCCTCAAACCACCATGGTCGACCAGTGCGTTCCACTTTTGGTAGGGTCTCAAAAAGATTTAGCTAGGAAAACAGGGGTGAAGTTTAAGTTATTATTTTATACTAGTGTCAATAATTATAGGCCTTAGAGTGAGTAAGGCCTATGAAAAACATAACATATACAATTACCTTTGGAAAACAATGCAAATGACACTTACTCATTCATGTTCAGTATTTTTTCACACAACTCCTATAGTTTTCTGTCATGACTTAGCTATATGGTCATTTTTATCAGACTGTATTGTGTTATGGTTGTGCCGTCCCTGGTAGGCTAGTGGTTAACGCGTAGCGCTTTCGCCACAGTGCCCCGGGTTTGAATCAGGGTTGCGTCAGGAAGGGCATCCAGCGTAAAACACGTACCAAATGTCAACATGTGAGTCGTCAGTGAAGGCGACCCCTAAACGGGAAAAGCTGAAAGTGACTTCCTTTCTTTTATTGTGTTATGGTTGAGCTTTAGTGGACTGTATCATATGTGTTTCTGCTATTTTGTCCACTTAATTAAGTTAGATTTAACTCTAATTTGACAGTGTAAATGTGAATTAGATAATACACAGCATTGTAATTGTATTATTATAATCGTTAATTTGAATCATTATAAAACATTTGGGATTCTATTTTACATTGTTAAACTTGTGTTGATAATCAAATCAATTTTTACTTACTACTTTTATTACTTATTTCTTTTAAAGCCAATGGTGTATCTCCAGCTGGGTTTTGGTGGGCTGAGTCAAAGGACTAATAATGACTTTGTTTTCACTGTTTTCTAAAAGCAGTGGGTCCTGAAACTGAGAAGTTTTTACATAAATTGAACATGAAAACATAAAAAGTATCCCTGCCTATTTACTCCATCCTTCCCCTCTGGTTTACAGTGTGCTAGACCCACCTGCTCGTCCCAGTTGTCAATCACAGCCAAATCTGCCCCACGGCTGATACAGTCCGCTCTGCTGTCTGACCAGTTCTTCAAGGAACTGAGCCCTACTTTAGCATGAAAGTAGCATGATGTGTTCAATAACAACCATCCTGGATGGCATCGTCCACAACTTTCCCCTGTTAAAAAAGGAACATTCACAACAAGAAGAAATTGTCTGATTCCAGTATGCAATAAAGATGTATGTAATAACTTCTCACGAATATTAGATGCATTTGACAGTAGTGCTGCTCTCTCCGCATGTAGTGTCTCAAGCTGCCTCTGAAGGCTGTCACTGAGGGTCTTGTTCTGCTCTAAATGCAGCTTAAGTTGCTGATGACCACTGAACGCTTTCTCTAATGCTTGTTTGGCCTCTTCTTGAGCTTTGATAGCATCACTCTGCAGTATCTGAAGCTGCTTCACCTCCATGATGAGTGTCTGTATGGTCATTTGGTGGGGAGTAGATTCCTCATTGACTTTGCCACCTGTGATTAACAAGTAAGAAGGTCACCTTTTTAGTCCTCGTAGGTGATAATCAGAATACAAATTACTGTATATACCCATTCATATCAAATCTAAGTAATACTGTAAGCTCGGTAAAGGTTTTTCATAGATTTGGTTGTGAATTGTTTACGAAGGTGTACTCCAAACTGTCTCTAAACAAGTGATTGTCAAGATTCAGCACCTTCCTTGGATCAGTTATACTCACAGTAAATTCCAATAACAACAGCAGTTAACAACAGAATCGTGTTCAGCAGCCCCAAACACACGATAATCAGCGGATACAGTGGAAGACTTTTGGACCCAACTCTGACTGTGCGCATACATGCTGAACAAACAAATGCTTTGATGTGAGCTCAGTGTGAACAACAAATCATAAGGCTATAGCTTTAGCAAAATTATAATGAGGGCAGTTTGAAAACACAAGCCTACCTTTGGTTCCTGTATTATGGTGAAATGATTTTTCCTCTGTGCTGTAGTCATTTGAAATCATGGCTGGATATCCCTCTGGTTGTCAAGTTTTATTCTGCGAAATCTTCCTAGTGTCACTTTTATCTGTGTGAGGCAGCTGCTCTGTCAACATTACAAAACTGTGTTTGTGAGCGAGAGCTGCAGTCCCACTAACTGCTCCCTCTTATGAGAAAATGGCCCCTGAAAGTCTTTAAATAGTTGTCATTGTTATTTTAGGCTTTTAAGGAAAGCCCTGTTGATTAACATAATGAGAAGATCAGTGAATGTACAGTACTTTAAATGTGACACAGTCTAGTTAATAATGTTATTCATAGTTTAAAAAAATGCTCTGGTACCTTCAAATGTGCATAGCAAGAGATGATGAAGTTAAACTTCACCTGCTGCTCAACTATGCCGTTTATTTCTATGAAGGGGAAAATATTAAAATATGCCTGTAAAATATTTCCAAAACCTTTAGACAAGGAGTCTGTTTAATTTCGCAGTTTCCGGGTTTGTTGTTGCCTGTCAGTCAAGTGTCAGAGTCCACCCCATTTCAAACAATACTGCAGTTGTTTATTTGTTAGGCAGATTTATTGTAGTTGGTTTGTATTTCCATGACAGGCCAGGATTGCCAGGCGGCGCTGTGCTTTCCTTAGCCAATTCAAGCGTAATGTTACCGGAAACGCACTCTCCTGACTTTCATCGTAAAATTGACATAACACGCCAAATAATAAGCGTTTTATTCTGAAAATTCAACTAGCTGACTGGACGTCTTCATTTTTTGTTGTGTTGTACTTGACATTGCTGCAACTACTGTAGTTGCACGCACTTTGCTGTGTTGTATTTTTCCCCACTGTATACGTAAAGTAGCTTTGAGGTATCTGGTTGTACTTGTACTTTGACAGGGTCTTTAATAGTCGACACGGGTAACAGGCGCGTGTACAGTTTTATAGGAGTCTTTCAGGTAGAGTTGTATAAGGCCTGCTCGGGTTATTTCCATCACTACCGCTGGCTGACGTTAGCCCTAAACAGAAATGTCACTGGAGGACTATGAAAGACATTTCGACTCACTAAATTCAGATTTGGGTGGCGGGTCTGTGCTCAGTGAGCGATCAGCGTCGGGGACGTTTAATGGCGAAGAGGAAAAGTTACATTACATTCCTATCCGGGTCCTCGGGAGGGGGGCGTTTGGTGAAGCAACTCTCTATAGAAGAACAGAGGTAGGCTATCTCCACATCTCAGCACAGATTTATGTTTTAAAACAAAAAAAAAAAAAGCATGGAATACACATTATGCCATGCAACAATCTCGGCTTACTTCATGCAGACTTTGCTCTTGAAACAAGGTGACTGTCAGTGTAACACCAACAACAAGGAAGACACGTATTAATCAAGTTCAGAAGGCCCCCACAGCTTTTTCTTGAACAAACATGTACTCCTGTATTCTAAGATGCTGCAGATGGTAAAAATATACACATACAGGTGTATCAGAAATGTCTTGTTAACGGTGTTTTCATAGTTGAAATGAGTTGTGGTATTCTGACTGGTCAGCAGAACCCCTCTGTTTTCATACTCCTGTGAGAAATTCTTGAGAGAAAAAGATAAATGACTTTCCTATACCTTGCTTCTTTATCCTGGAATATAACTGGATGCACATACTGCAGTATATGGTTTGCAGTTGCGACTCCTCTATGAATGTGTTTTGAAATAATTATATATTATAAAACCTTGTTCTTCTGCATCAGTGAAGATTTTTCTTGTCTGTCTAACCTTTAGTAGGTAGTTATAAAAGTAGAGAAACGTAGTGTACTTTTTCTCATCTGGTGAGACAAATGTGGAGCCTATTTTTGGGCGCTTAGTACTATTTAATAAGATGTTCCCTCTGGCTTCCCTATAGGACAACTCTCTGGTGGTATGGAAGGAGGTGGACCTGAACTCGCTCTCAGAAAAGGAGTGCAGAGATGTCATGAATGAAATAAGCATACTCTCCATTCTGGAGCACAATAACATCATAGCCTACTTCAATCACTTCATGGATAGAAACACTCTGCTCATTGAATTGGAGTATTGCAATGGTAAGAAAATAGTGTCAGTGTCCACTGAAGATTAGTTGAAATGCTGTTCAGTTGTGACAGAACATTAAATGGCCTTATCATCACAGGAGGAAATCTGTATGATAAAATCAACCAACAGAAGGGGAGACTTTTCAGTGAAGAGGTATGAGTGCAACATTGCAGGCCATTAGTTTCATACAGTACAGACTATTACACATTTACATTCAACATTTTTCTTTAGGTGGTCATATGGTACCTGTACCAAATAGCCTCCGCAGTGTCATACATTCACAAGGCTGGGATATTACACAGGTTAGATGTTCAGCCCATTTTCATGCCCTTATTGAAGATGTCTGGCAGTGACTTTTGTAATGGAACCATGGTGTTTTTCCTGCAGAGATATCAAAACTCTGAACATTTTCCTGACCAAGACTGACCTCATGAAGCTGGGCGACTACGGACTTGCTAAGAAGCTAGACTCTGAGTTTTCAATGGCAGAGACTGTAAGTTGTGATTTTATCCTCTACCCCCAATATGAGCTGGTACATATTAACCGAATGTTACACAGTGGTGAAATACTGTCTTCACTCTTGGTGTAGTATTAGTGTGGGTTTTGAGTTTGTGTATGCTTTTTATTGTTGCCTTACCACTTTGTAACTGAGGTATAACAATAGTTTAGTGCATCACAGCAAACAGTGAGATGAAAAGGTACACTGTAAAGGTAACTTTGACTGTGTACAGTTAATATTCTGGATGAGGCGGCTGTTTGTATCCAGGTAGTAGGGTTGATCACAGACTAGATGAGGCTGCGGGTGTTTGGCAAATATACTTTGCAAATACTTATTTGAGCTCCATTGGCATGAGATACATGTTTTATAAATTTTCTTCTTGTGCTTTTTTTCTTCTGTAAATCCAGTGTGTGGGAACTCCATATTACATGTCACCTGAATTGTGCCAGGGAGCAAAGTATAACTTCAAATCAGACATCTGGGCCATGGGTTGTGTACTTTTTGAAGTCTTAACTCTTACAAGAACATTTGATGCAACGGTAGGTCTCCTAGAAGTAATTGACTTAGTTGTGTTAATCAGAAAATGTGATTTTTTTTAATGTCCAGACTTAATAAAACATTTTTGTTTCTGTCAATAAAGAACCCTCTGAACCTCTGTGTGAAAATAGTCCAGGGAAACTGGACAATGGAAGTGAACTCAGATGTTTATTCATCTGCGTTGATCGAGCTGGTGTATGAGTGCCTACACCAAGTGAGTGAGATGAATAATCAGAGGACGGTGGTGTTTCTAATAATTGTCAAATAAAGAGTTTGATACCAAAGGTAATACTGCATGAGGAACAAAAAGCTATTCTTGTGATGTGATCCAGGAGCCTGCAAAGAGGCCTACAGCGGAGCAGATTCTGGACCAGCCATTTATCTCCTGCTGCCGACAGTAAGTTGGCTGAAAGAAAAGAAAGTTTTTAGATTTTGTTAATAAGAAAACATTTTAGATTCTGTGGGATGCAGTCTAAATGCCCATAACAACTTTGTTCTCTGTTAGGGAGCTTGAAGAGCGCGTTGCCTTGCTGAACTCCTCAATGAAGAAACCAAAGTAAGCTGTTAACACTTGGTTCATATTCTACATTATAAAAACCTGTCTCTTGTGCCTTAAGTATGAGTTTGGGTATATAACTGATTTGTCGTCCTGACTCTACCATAGGCTGAGTACAGTGAACGAAACCTCTGTTGCTGTGGTGACCACACGCTCAAGGGAGGTGTACTTCTGGGGAGGAGGGAAGTTTACTCCCCAGAAACTGGACATGTTTAAAGGAGGCAGCAGCGCTCAACATGTTTGTGCTGGAGAGAGTCATTTTGCAGTGGTGACAGTTGAAAAGGAGCTATACACCTGGGCTGTGAGAATCTATCCATTACTCGGGCACAGGTATACTGAATCTAAAAGCTCTTGTGGTTCACTACAAGAAACTGTCTCAATTCTCTATTCAGAATGTTCAAGGAGGTGCCAAAATGGTGGGCCAGCTGGGACACGGAGACCAGGCCTCATACCGGCAGCCAAAGAAGGTGGAGAAGCTTCAGGGGAAGGCCATTCGACAGGTGGCATGTGGGGCTGACTTCACTGCTTGTGTCACTGGTGGGTGAGGAACTCTTCCTGTGAAAACAAGAACTTACGGGAGAAAATGTAAAGCCACATTTTTTTTATAATTAACCCTCTGCTGCTGCTTTTGTAGATGAAGACCAGATGTACATGTTTGGTTCAGACTATTATGGATGCATCGGAGTTGAGGGCGAGCTTAGCATGGAGATTTTGGAGCCAGTGCTTCTGGAGTTTTTTGAGGAGCGGCCTGTCCGTCAGGTTTCCTGTGGCGACAACCATGTGGTGGTTCTGACTCAGAGTGGAGACATCTTCTCCTGGGGTTGCGGAGAGTATGGTACGCAGGGTTGCTGTATGTGCTGTCAGTAAGCCTCTCACAAGTTGTTTTTGCAGTTACAACTGTAGCCACCGGGTGGAGAAAGTGAGGTGGTTTGCATTCTTGTGAAGGTGATCTTTCATAAATTTCCTCAAATTTGGCACAAATGTCCACTGAAATTCAAGGATGATTACATTTTGGTGGTCAGAAGTCATACTGACCTCATATCTGTCCCATTCCCATCAATTTGACTGGTTAGCAGAGGGATACAACCACAGAGTAGTAATTCTAGTTTAATTTATTCAGAATATTTTAAGAAAATTTTGCTCTGCTTTCCTGTTGCAGGGCGTCTCGGCCTGGAATGCGAGGATGACTTCTCTTCTCCAATGCAAGTAAGATGTTGCTCCCTGATCTGGTATATTCTTGACTGTCCTAAAGTCATACAGGTGCCAATTAGATACAAAGTGTTTCAAGGAATATGATAAATATAATAAAAGTTCTGTCTGTTTTTTTTATTTTCTCAGGTGGAGATCCCTAAAGGTGCCACCATCTCCTCAGTGTCATGTGGCAGTGATGGAACCTTCTTTTTAACAGAAACTGGCAAAGTCCTAGCATGTGGAAACAATGAGTTCAACAAACTGGGTCTGAACCAGGGAATCTCTGGCATCAAAAACCATCCTGGAGAGGTACTGGGCTATACCTATGGGACTGTAATAAGATAGTTGATGCAGCTATGTTTATACATTTTTCCTGTATTCTACACCAGGGTTACCAGGGAATCCCATACATTACCACACTGACCTTGGTAAAGCAGCTGTCAAGGTTCAAGATCCAGGTCATAGCTCCAGGGAAAACCCACACAGTTGCAATTGATGGTACTCAGAAAGAGGATGATACTTCTCCTGTAAGATAAAGGTGTCACAATTTGAAAGAAATGTTATGTCATGTGACTTCTGGTTTTGCAGGACGTGGTCGGCTGATTACCTTTGGCTGCAACAAGTACGGACAGCTGGGTGTGAAGGACTTTAAGAAACACCAAGGTGTCCAACTCCTGGTTGGACCCTTCGGAGGGAAGATAGTGACCAAAGTGTCTTGTGGAGATGGCTTCACCATTGCAGCCACTGAGGGTAAGAACACATTGTACATTTATTGAAATAAACATCTATGTTTTTTCGAGTTCATGTCAAGGTTTGTGCAGTTTCACTTCGTGCTGGAATCGATTTCCCAATACCTTTGTTTTTGTGAGTGTATCATCATCTATTTTTTTTGTTTCTCTTGCAGACAATCACATCTTTGCATGGGGAAATGCAGGAAACGGGAGACTTGGGATGCCTGCTGATAAAGGATTTGGTTCAGAGGTTTGCCCCGCCATGCCAAGGCCCATCTTTGGTTCCCTTCACCACGTACCAGACCTCTCCTGCCGTGGTTGGCACACCATTATCATAATGGGTTAGCAATGAGAACCAGACACTTGCACATTTTATGGTACAAGCAGGCAGCTGTGAAATAAATACATTTTCTTCTTTACAGAAAAAGTACTCAACTCCAAGACTATACGCTCTAACAGCAGTGGAGTATCAATCGGTAGTGGTAAACACTGTTCTTTTGTCACTGATTTGTATGTTGATTCAATTTGTTTGCCTCTAGAATAAGTCTACACTGTTGGTGTTAATGTCTGTGTGTAAATATAGGAGTGGGCCAGGAAACATCTACATCAACAGTGGATATGGACATAGAACCTGGTTCTGAGACAGAGAGTCGAGATAGGGGTCTTGGTGGTACACTGGAGGCTAATACGGAGGAGTGCTTCACAGGGACCTCGATGATGTTAATGGCAAATCAGACTGGAGACAGCTCCTGCCCTCTGTGGCTTAGAAAGGTTGGTTACTACAAAAATTCCAGGGACCAGTGAAACCTTTGTTTGAATCATACATTTGAATGGAGCGTTGCATTGTTCTAATTCAGGAAGATTCCTGTTCTACAGGAGCTTGAGGATGCAGAATTCATCCCGATGCCAGAAGACTCCGAGCCATGCACTCCTGACCAGCTCTCTTCTTTCTCTGAGAGCGTCACTCTACCTTATGAGGAATTGAAAGAAATGACGGCTGCAGCTGCAGCAGTCAGCAGTAGGAAAGACCTGCCGGTAAAACTGACGCTGTTATTTGCACTGATCAGACTAATTATGAAATCCAAACTTTTAAACTTTCACAATACTGCTGCTCACATCCACTTTCAACCTCTTCCTCTCTGGTTGTCTCCACAGACTAAACGAATGGACTGTGATGAAGATAATGGACTGGAGGAGTCTGATGTCTGCAAAAAAGGAGAATCGGGTGTATGTTGCAATGCATGTAGAGAGGTCATACAGGTATATCCACACAGTGCAACTCATGAACTAATGAGAACATCTCATTGCTGCAGCATCCAACCTCACTTTTATTTTGCAGCTGCGAGAGACAGTCGCTCGTCAAGAGATGAGGATCCAGATGCTCGAGAAGCAGGTGAAGCATTTTTCCCAAAAGCTGCCCGTGCACCTCAAAGCCTGCTTTGATTCATGAACATCCAGTAAATAGCAGCATACTGTAACCTGTGTTCTTGTCATCCCCAGGTCAGTGACCAGCAGAAGGAGAATGAGAGGCTCTGGGCAGCAATCAATCGTTCAGCGCTACGGGAAGCTGGGTGTGACAATAATGGAAACCATCAGTCTGAGCGTGTGCCTGGGGATGGAGGAGGAAGAGCAAGTGGATTCACAAACCATGGGAACAGATCTGCAGGGGCCAGTGTGTGAGGCTCTACCTGCAGAGTTCAATATCGTGGGAGAAGTGTCAAAACTCTTAGCACATAATGAATTAAACAAACTGGTTAAATAGGAAGTGAAGGTGCAGAGAGTGCATACTCAAAATGGTGATGTTGCAGTATACATGTTTTGGCATAGCGTTGCATGATTACTTTTAATGCATTTATAATACTGTATAATACCTTGGACACTCTCTTATGCACACTTGTGTTCACCTGGGTGGGGTGATCTAGCTAATTTCTCCATAGACTGAAATGTTGGCTGGATTCAACATAAAGCATTGGACCTTGACAGCGGCGAGAGACAATCTGATTATAGTGTTGCTCTGCAATGTGAATGTTAAGTCCATGTGTTATTACTGTTGACCTTTAGTGATGTCAGCATTGAGACTTCACTCCTTAGTGCCTCAGTTATAAGTGTTATTTACATAACAGGTGAGATCAGCGTATGCAAAAAGGAAACTCTGCCAGTTCATCCAAAGTTAATGTTTCTTTATCTCAGATGTTGAGATGTGTGAAGATTGGCAGCCACCATGTTGTCATGTTGACACCATCTTCTAATGTGAAAACATAGCTGTATTGTGTATCACTTTATTTTTATATTAATTTCATCTGATATTTTTAAGTGCCAAAAATGTGCCAAATACAATACAGTCTCAAAATCCTTCCATATTTATCAGATGTTAGCTGTTATAAACATATTCTAATTATTTCATGCAAATATATAACTTTCACATTTGCATGTTTTATTGTCATATAAAAGTATTTGTGAAAAATGAAAACTACTGATTCATTTTTTTTTAAGTTGGTTACTTTTTTTTTTTTATCACATTCTTTGACTCTTGAATTCTTGTCTGTTTATCAAATGTAGGTCTAGCTTTTTTGTGCCATGTATGAGCACTTGAACAGTTTTCTTTAAATGTGGACAACATACTCTTGAACACATTTAAAACACAGCTGACTTTGCAGCTATAATGTTATTGTTTTATTATTGCATATTTTAAAACATTTTATCTGTCTTTGGTACATTCTAAAATGTTGTGCCATATTTTGCATCATTTGTGAAAGTAAATATCTAAATGCACTTTTTGTGTTTGAGGTCCATTGGTTTTGTTTATTGGTATGTTGTAGATATTTTCTGTGTGTGTGGGTATGTAAAACCTTTTGTCATAATTAACGTACAAGCTGTTAACTCTTCATTGACCTTTTAGATGTCATTGGTGTAATACTGGCAGTATTTCCATGCAGTAATATGAAATGTCAAGGTGCCTTAGCAACCTATGGAACTAACAGTTGTGTAATTATGACAATGCTTTAGGTGATTTTATTTATAGTGTGCTAACAGCATTTAAAACAGGGTTACATTTTTTACAGCATTTTACTAAATTATATGGAGATATCACAGTGCTGCTTCCAGTTTTGTGCACAGCCATAAATAAAACTAACCACTGTTTTTGTTATGCATACATATTCAATATTTCCCACAGTGCAAGCTGCTGTATAATGTAACACACTATACTTGTAAAGAGTCAAAGCTACCTCACACAGTTCTATTTATTTTAAGGGGCTATATTTAAACATTGTGGACAAAAGGCCTCACAATTTTTCAATAGGGATTAAATTAAACAATTCAGAGACTATTGACAATAACAACAGGGTCATTAGTGACTTGATGTGCTGACAACCAAGGATTTGTTATTCACATGGCCCAGGGTCAAAAGTGTTTGGGTCCTTTGGGTAGGCTCTGGACCCTTTTGACAGTGACATGCCCAGCTGGTAGCTGATCCTGATGCAGATTGTTTGTGTTTGCTTTGCCGTTCTGCCTTTTGTTCTGTTTTTGTAAAACCTGAATGAAAAGATACAAACAGAAAAACAGAAAATACACAAACTATTACATTAAAGTTAAAAACTGGGGAAAGAAGTTCAAAATGAAGACACAAACGCCAAAATATCCTGAGTTTTAGTCCCTAGTGTTAGTTGAGCCCAAAACACTGAATCTCGCATTTACGACAATACAACCAATAGCGTCTTTTGATTAGTTTGCCCTGCCTATGCCTTTCAAATCCAACAGCCCTCATCTGTAATACAACTGTAAGAGCTAGCATGTTACTAGCATACCTCTGGAGTCTTGCTTCTGGTGTGGGTTTTCCAGAACTCCTCCATGGCAGATCCCTTGGTCCTATTAGCATAGGAGTTGAAGACTTGACGATGTGAATTTTTCACTTTTTTACAGATTTGGACATGCTTTTCTAATCTTTCACTTGCAAACTTTCTGCCACAGGTTCTGCAGGGAAGAAGCTGGAAGCTGATGTCTGTGCTATCCATGAGTCCCAGCTCTCCCTGCTGTGGTCTGGTGGAGTGAGAGGGACTAGAAACTGTCACATCCAGTGGCATCACACCTGCTTCTTCCCAAATGCTTACATCAATTTCAGCCCCTTGCTTTTTCTTTTGTTGTTTAATATCCTCCTTTCTTCTATCCTCCATCAACATTTCTCTGCTTTTCACTAGATCTGTCCTTTGCTGCTCAGACAGCCTGGTTTTCATCTGAGCCCTTCCCCTCTCTGCTTGTCCCCAGCGGTGTCTCTCCTCCTCACTTGCAGCAGCATCAGCGCTGTCCCTCTGGATTTTTTGTCTTAGTTTTTCCTCAAGTCTCCACAGTTTCTCCTGTAGCATGAGCTGTTTTGCATGAATTGCTTCAGCCATCTGCATTTCTCCACTGGACAGTCCTTGTAAGTCTTTTCTGGGATCCCGGGATCCAGTTATCTGTTTGATGCCATTAGAATGATGTTCTTCTGCTGATAAAGGGTCTCTTGCTGAAATAACCATTTTTTCAAACTCGTACACATCATGCGAGTCTTGTGTCCTGGGGTTAAGAGGCCTTCTGTGGCTAACAGGCTTGCTTGGAAATGACCGGTCTTCTCCAGCTGCACTCCTACCAGGTACAACACCATGTTGTTAACAATGGGATACATTTTTTTTAAAAAAAGGCGATGAGCCCGTTGTCTCTTGTAGAACTTTAACAAAGCACTGCTGAGATGGCATTTCTTGATATTCAGGGATGTCAGTTAACATTAACGCTAGTCAAATGAAAGAAGTCTGTCATAAAAAATCTACTTACCAGTGCAAGTGCTCCATTTGCAGTTGACTAACTTTCCCAATGCTGTAAATATTTTCAAATACTCGATGACTTCTTGTGTGCTCTCTGAATTAAACGTAATACTGAATTTAGGTACCTAAATGCAAAATTGCCATTAGAACTGCAGAGCCTCAGTTTCCCAGTGTTTACATTTGCTGCTTAGAAACCAAGCATCTGGAGCGCACCCTTCTTCTTCTTCTTCGCTCAGGTTTTAAAGGGTGTTCTGTGATTGGTCCGTTGCTACTTCCGGATACAGAGTCCCGTATGTTTCAAAACAGAGGTATTTCGGAGTCCGCTAGTCTTCTCAGAGCTTCCTAAAATATTCAGGTGAATTATAGTATAGACATTAAGCTATCAGGTACTTGCACAGCCCGAATATGGCGCTAGATTTGCAATTTATCTATGTTGCTGGTCATTTCAATACAAATGAATTGTGTTAGCATATCTTGTAACGTTGCCCCTGCTATCTATGTATATGGTAGATTCCTAAGAGCACAACGTTACAGCAGTCAACTATCGCATGTCTTGTTTTTTCCTAGGTCCACTATGTCTAATGAAGACTTAATTTCAGTGGATTATGAGATTTTTGGCAGAGTGCAAGGTGTATTCTTTCGGAAATACACTCAAGTAAGTTTCACATTGATGAGCAAGCCTTTATATTCCCCAGACCCCACCCCCCCAAAAAAAGATAATTAACATCATTTTATTGGCTTTTTTGAATGTTTTCACCCGCATATCCTGTTCTTCGTGAGCGGATGGAGTTCATGCTGGTTTATGAAGAATGAGCAAAACTCCCATCAGTTGGCTTTCTTGGATGCCTGCTAATGGAGACCAGCTGAGGCTGCTGAAAGCTTTTGCTGAAAGGCTCCTGCATAATATTTTGAATATCATTTTGCATTTATTTTATTATGCACTGTACTTTCCCCCTACTGCACACTGTATTTATCTAAAAGTGACATGAGATCTGACTGTCAAGAAGCACTCAATATTTTCTGTAGAGCTCATCTTATTCATATAATTTCACATTTATTCCATCCCAGCCATATTTCCATCATGACTGTCTTTCATTTTTCAGGCAGAAGGGAAGAAGCTTGGCCTGGTTGGCTGGGTCCAAAACACGGGTGCAGGAACTGTCCAGGGGCAGATACAGGGTCCTCGCAGCAAGGTGATAGAAATGCAAGAATGGCTGAAATCCACTGGGAGCCCCAAGTCACATATAACCAAGGCGGAGTTCAAGAATGAGAATAGAGTTGACAGCCTAGAACACTCTTCTTTTAAAATAGTAAAATAAAATAATCCATATTTTGTCTGTAATATTAACTTTAAAGAAGCTGTTTTATTTATTTAGTCTTTTATTTATTTGTTGGTATGCAGCTCATGTACTCAAATATGTGTGTTAGGACTCCTTACCTTGTACAGTATATTGAATTACATTAATAAATGGAAACATCCTTTCAACAGCCTAATAACACAAATATGTGTATATTTGATCATTTTAATTTAGAAATGGTATATCAGCTACAGCTCAAAACATTACATTTAGAGGGACATGACCGAGTTGAGTATCACAGTTTCAGAGGTAACCACATTATTTAGTAGAGACTTAGAGAACTGTAAATCTGTTAGAAGGGGACATTTGCAACTGGTATGCCCTTGAAATCTGTCACCATAATGGGACTCCATAAAACTGGCTAAAGTCAAGGCTTGATCAATGACCATATTCTCACTAGTTGCATAATTGCAAAAAAGCATGTAGAATGAGTTTATCCTCCGTTTGTTTTACTGCTTGATTTCAATGAGGGAAACACTCACAAAGACCAAGTATCCCAAAATAAACTGCCAGATTAAGCCTATTAGAATCATTTTGTTCAGGTCCAACTTCAAATCAAATGGTCATGTCACAGCAGAGATTCCAAAGAGCTGTCTTAGATTTAGAATAGTCTTACTGGGTGCTGATACACTGAAATTGAGAGATCCTATAAAACAAAGAAGAAAGAGACATATTTGCTTTTTCAAGCTTTCAGGCATGTGTGCCAGCTTCTTTGTTGTATCAAAGCACCCATTTCACAGAAGACATGTTGTAAGAAAAGGTACAGGTGTAAGTCAGTAATGATGCTAAATTCTCTTTAGCTGCTTTGCTGTATTGTGCCTACTGAGAAACATCTGTGCTTTTGCTATAGTGACAAGTGAAAATGTCTGCTGTGAAAAAGGCTTTATTAAGTTGATAAAGTTTTCAAGGCTCACTAGTCTTATAAAGAGAGGGAAGATAACAAAAGAATAGATGATATTGATAAGACCAAGACTGGCATATAAAATTAACACCTGTACACTTCTTAATATGCAGATCTAATCAAGAAAAATGTGATTGAAATAAAGCCCTACATGTGCAGCATATGAAATTAGTACTTAGAGGCTAAATTTAAGAATAGAATAGAATAGAATGAAGAAAAAAACACATGGATAATATAATTACTTAGAGGCTAAATTTAAGAATAGAACGAAGAAAAAAAACACGGATAATATAACAGCAGGTAATGAAATACTGTACACTGTTTATAAAGACATGAGATAACACTTTCCGTACAGTAGGTGGCAGTATGCACGTCAACCGTTGGCTGCTATCCGCTAACAACAAAAAGAAAAAGAAGACGACTGTCAATCCTGGTAGTCCTTCGCACCAGAAGATGGCGCCGTTAACTTTCGCTGTTAGCTGCAACGGCATCTCTTTTTGCTTCACGTTGACTGTAAACAGTAGCTCAGTTTATTTTAGCATGGTTTTCTGTTGCTTGTCAAACCCGAGTGTTTTGTTTTTTTAATATGTCGCGGTCAAAAAGTTATCGTTGGATCTCATGCAGCTAGTTAGCCACCGTTAGGGTAATGTGACTGGGCGTTAGATAGCAACAGGCAGCGGGTTAATGTCCGCTGTTACAGATCATTACCTTGCAGTCTGTCAGGGCACATAAGAGACAAACCATACCAAGAGAACTGAATTTAATAAACACAATGATTAAGTGTTTGCCTGAAGAGGTTCAGGGAAAACTTCGTACCGGGGTCGCCATCCCCTCTCTTCAACAGTGCGTAGAGGAGCTCGTCCTAAACAGCATCGATGCCGCGGCGACCTGTGTGGGCGTCAGGATGGACATGGAGGCATTTAAAGTACAGGTAATCGACAATGGTACTGGGATGAGCTTTGAGGATATGACATGCGTGGGAAACAGATACTACACAAGCAAATGCAACTCTGTTGAAGACTTGGACAACCTCAGGTGGTACGGTTTTAGAGGGGAAGCCTTGTCAAGTATCGTGTCTCTAGCCACACTTGTTGAAATCTCCTCCCGGACGAGATCATCAGTGAAAACGCACGTCAAAATCTTCAAGGATGGCAAGGGCTTGGATGCATTTGAAGCAGAGATGACTCGACCCTCTGCAGGAACAACTGTTATCATTTGTAACTTCTTCCACAATATGCCAGTCCGGAGGAAGAGGATGGATGCTGTCCTGGAGGGTGAAAGGATCAGACACAGAGTAGAGGCTATTTCTTTGGTGCATCCCTCTGTATCCTTTACCCTTAAGGATGACTGCACAGGAGCCATGATGGTGCAGCTCCCTAAAGCCAGAAACACCTACCACAGGTTTGTACAGATACACAGCCTTGGGCGTGCACAGAAATTGGGAGAAATCAGCTACACACATGGGCAGTTTGAAGTGACTGGTTACGTTGGCAGAGAGGGCCACTACAACAACAGCTTACAATTCCTGTATGTAAATGACCGACTTCTGATGAAAACACGGATACACAAGCTGCTGAACTTTCTTCTTCGCAGACTGAGCAGTTCAAATCAGAAAAATGACTGCCCAGAAGGGCAGTCTGCTATTGGGAGTCCAAAGCACAAACGAAGCCAAGACCTGCACGGAGTATATGTAATCAATATCAAATGCTCTTACTCAGAGTATGACATTTGTCTTGAACCTACCAAGACTTTGATAGAGTTCAAAGACTGGGATGGCATTTTGCTCTGCATAGAGGAGGCAGTGAGGGTATTCCTGAGCAGGGAGAACATGGTGGCTATAGTCTCTCAAGATGACTTGGATGATGCATCTCCAAACTTGTTTGCTGCTGACATTACAGAGCAAGAAGGGAGCACAGGTGTTCAAGCAGCTAGCAGTGCTTCCACACTGGATTGCGCTATCGGAATAAAACTGGCATCTGACTCTGTTCATCGTAGGAGCAAAGATGACTGTGAATCTGAGAACAGTGTTTGCCAGGAGTCAGACCTCATTGAGGACAAAGAAGAGACTGAACCAGGACAGAAAAGAATAACTGCAGATGAATTGGAGAAGAGAAAAAGTGAAGAAAACATAAAGAAAAAATGTAGAGCCAAGCCACAGTGTGATCTGACTAGACTGGACCCTGTTTCTGAAAATAACATTACTGAAGAAGAGGAGCTAATACTAAGTGAAGCTGGGGAAGGCTCTCAGAGTTTATGTATGTCAGGTTCAATCAGACAACTAGAACATGAAAAACTAGAACTTTCAAAAGAAACAGAGACACAATTCAACAGTACTACCTCAACCAGCAACATGACTTCACTAGACAGCATCACTCAACAAATTCAGCCTGATTTAAACAGAAATTTGCTAATATTACCTGAATGCAAGTGTACAGGGGGATGTGGACCCACTTTAGTAAGGAATAGAAAGATCAGTCTGTCTGATCCATACATTCATGAAAGTCTGGAAACTTGGGACATGTCTCAGATCAGTAGGTCAGTCTTTCAGAGGCAAAATGTAGCACAGAAATGGGAGGAGAGATCCTTTGCATCAAAGCGCAGAATTTCACTGGATGCAGGCCATGACGGATCTTTTCAGAAAGTACCCAAAGACTCTGCTTCTGTTAATCCCTCAAATAATCCCAGAACTGTACCTTGTCAAAAGCTGTCTTTATCTAATGAGTTTGGCTCTCTTGACAACTTTAGGAGAGTATTTGGTAAATCTGACAAAATAAAAATATCCTCTCTTGAGAGTTATTTACAGAACGATGCCAGATTTCATCAGACAGATAACCCCTCTTTGAATCCCCAGCACTTGTCAGTTAGCCAGTTAGATCAGCAAAATGGTGATGTTAAAGAAGCATGGGGCACCCTTCGAAGCCCACCAACCTTCTCAGCTTTCACCAGGCTAAAACAAGTCTCAAGTCTGATTAGAGGTAAAAGGTCTTTGGCAGCTAAACTCTGTCATTTAAAACAACACAGGACAGAGAGTTCAAAGGTATTACCACACCTGTCCAGGACTACCTTGGAGGACCAAACCTGTGTCAGTAGTGGTAATGATGGCATCCAAGTCAACAATAATAACGAGAATCCTTGTGACACAGCACTGAGTCTTGAGCCAGATGCAGGTTACAGTACAACTCATCAGCTGGCTGAGATGGAAGAGGATGCAAGATCAGGTGACTGGCTTCGTCACTATGATACATCTGTGGGGAAGATGGTTTATGTCAACAAAGTGACTGGGCTCAGCACATATGAAAATCCAGATACTGAAGAAATGCCGGTGCGCTGTATATCTGATGTCACCAATATGGCAGTTAGTGTCATCACTGAAATGGGTGAGTCAGTAGACATAATTATATTCATAAATAATAACTGGAAATAGCACTCAGCACTAAGAAAGAAAACCTTCACTGTCATAGATTTAATCAAGAAAATGAATCTGCTATCTAAATTTCATGTTCCCATTCACTGAACTGCAGGGATGGAATACAGATGTTACCCATTTCAGGTGGATCTAGTGTTGCCCTTCCTGTCTAAATCCAGGACAGAGAGAGTGATTAGTTCAGGGGCTGATGTCAGAGGTACCTCCAAGACAGATTAGACCATAGACTCTAAGGGCCAAAAACACACATGTGCAATATGAATACTGGCTTGTTTGTGTTCACGTGCAATCTTGTCTGCCCTCACAGACGATGGTGGCGAGAGCTCCAACTCACTTTCCGCATTGTACTCAAAATGGAATAATCCTGTGTTTGTCCGACCTCCTGTGGTAAACAAAACTAATGTTTACTTGACTCTGGAATATGCATGGTAACCTTAGGTTAGAGAACAGCCTTGTAATCTCACAATGATTTAATTTTGCTAAGTATTTTATCTGTTTAAAGGCTTAATGCAAATTTAGAGTTCAGTTAAATCTAAGCAGTTTAAAGATGCGTTATGAGTTTTACCGTGTCTGCAGGTTGGTGTGGACATATCAAGTGGGCAAGCTGATGGACTGGCTGTAAAGATCCACAACATCCTGTTTCCATACCGCTTTTCTAAAGCCATGATTCACTCAATGAAGGCACATTGCTTTTTGTGTTTCACTGTTCTTTTTAGCACTGTCACAAATGCTCTTCATAATCTTTTAATTGTTTTTCTGAAACTGTGTAATATGATCACCTTATAGGTTATTCATCAAGTGGACAAAAAGTTTCTTGCCTGTCTTATCAATACAAGAGATGAAGAGCATACATCACATTCTGAAACTGAAGGTATGGGCAGAAACAGTAAAGTCTCCTGTTGTTTTCTCGGCTTCTTGTGTATTTGTGTGTTTTATGTTGAAATCCCAGGAAACCTTCTGGTTCTGGTAGATCAACATGCTGCACATGAGCGAGTTCGACTGGAAAATCTAGTTGCAGGTAAAAAAAAAAAATACAAAAACAAAAAAACCATACTTCACAGTATTACTACAGCAAATAAAATAAAATTAAAAAAAAGAAATGACTTGTGCTGTTGATGGGACCCTGATGTGATACTTCAGTCATTACTGCACATGCTTTTGCAGATTCCTATGAGGATGACCCAGATGCACCAGGAGAGAAGCGTTTGTGTTCATCAACCATTTTGCCACCTCTTGAGATCAGTGTAACAGAAGAGGAGCTACGGTTGCTTAAGTATGTGTATCTATATGTGCAGTACAAGCAGAAGGACTGTAAAAGCAGTAGGCTTTGTTCAGAGTATGGCTAAAGACAGTCCAACGGGTTTCATGAGTAGGTGGTTACGTGACGGATTTACTTAGTATGCTGTCGGCCTTACACCATTTGAGGTTTAAGAGTGTGCTGTCTGCTCTTAGAACAGCCAGCACACCTAGCATCATATTTTGGCAATGAGGAGAAGGGTGGGTACAGTGACACACTCACTTTATCTGTGTTAACTCAAGGCTTTGGCTTATATGCCATCATTCAGTAGTGTCAGTACTACAATGCTCTCATTGTGGCAGCTTGCATTATTAGCATAACATTTCCTGCAAGATAATGAAAAAGACCTCAGTTAAATCTGTTAAATCCATGTATGAGGTGGCTTTTGTTGGCCATGTTTTTCTTGTACTTGGAGTGTTGCCTCTGGAGGGGAACAGCCTAAATGTCAGTTCTGGCTAGTTGATTTTTAGAGACACATGCAAGCACTTCGCCTGATTTGGAAAGAGAGGTGATGGTTCTGTAACAGCCACAATCTCCTTTCATGAATATGGTCATTCTTCCATAATGATTTGAGGCCCCTCAGAATAAGCAATTGCCATGTGCTGTTGCCTGGTACTGCTGTGATGTGAACACATCACTTTAAGTTGTGTCAAACACACCACCCAGTCTTTAGACACTGTTCATTTAATACCATGACTATAATAGTGCATACAGCTTGGCCTCCCACAGCCAAAATATTTCTTTACTGATTTCACACTAGAGTTTTTAGTTTGTTTTTCACACCACAGACATTATTGCATTGTCATTACTATTTAACAGTGTGTCCTATGTTGCTAATGGATCATGAACTAATTGTCTTTACAGGTCTTGTCAGGCACATTTGAGGAGTTTGGGCCTGGAAGTGAAGTTCTTAGAAGCATCAAATCCACAAGTATTTGTTGGGAAGGTGCCACTGTGCTTCTTGGAAAAAGAGAGTAATGAACTCAGGCGGCGCAGACCATCTGTTATCAAGCCTATCGTTGAGGTAAGACTTGTGGAACCTCATTATTAAGGCTATCTACTACTACCATCTACTGGATCACTCATTTAGCCAAGTGATGGTTTTTCCACTTTGCTTCCTGTCACCTCAGGAGTATCTTCAAGAACAGATTGAGGTACGCTTGGAAGTGTCTTTCTACCTCCTCAACATTTGGTGCAGAGAGCATCTTATTCAGTAGACAGTAACATATATCACATTTGTTTCAGTTACTCCGCTCAACTGGCAGAGTGAGAGGAACTTTGCCTCTAACCGTGCTGAAAGTACTAGCCTCTCTATCATGTCATGGTAAGGTGAAATCTTTAAGTTATTTCTCTGCAGTTGTGAATTGTTAAATGTCATACTTGTTACTTGATTTCATGTACGCATTAAAACAGGTGCCATCAAATTCAATGACAGCCTGAGTAGAGCTGAATGCTACAGTTTAGTAGCATCCCTGTCCTCCTGCCAGCTGCCCTTCCAGTGCGCCCATGGCCGTCCTTCCATCGCTCCCCTAGTAGACATCCTCCATTTGGACAAAGGCCAGAAGGTACCAGAATGTAGCAGCGCACTTAACTTGTAGGATGTAGCATTCAAGGCAGACATCAGTCAGGTGGTAAATACGCTTTCTTGTGTCCACAGGAATTACAGAAACCCAACCTCCAAAAGCTGAGAAGAATGTATAAAGCATGGGAGCTATATGGAAATAGATAACTGGGTGTGTATTTTATTTTAAATGTGTAGTTTACTGTCAACAAAATGAATTGTAACTCCTAATAATTCCCTTATTAAATGACTCCACTCAAATTCCTGCAGCTGAAACGTTTACATGGGAAGACTGGTATTCATATAAATAACCTAACTGGACATTGAAAACATTTTTGTTTTGTAAGTACTTAAAAGAGGAAATACTAAAATATACTGATCAAATGTGATGCACTATCAGAAAAATAACAAAAGTCACATGGTTGGGACTTTGCAAATGTTGTTGTTTGTAGTGTACATTCATTCTGATATGTTCTCTTCAAAAGCATTTAGGTGCTGTACCTAAGCCTTTATGGCAGGGAAATCCTTGCAATGTTGCTGAAGAGCAGAACTCAGATATTGGTGAAGAGAAAATTGCATTTTATATAAAAAAGTAATATGACAATTTGTTTCCTAATCTCAAAGGCTCCAAAACATTCTACATTATAATGAATTTACACAATGTTCTCAACATTTGTTATCACTTTGCCCAGTTGTTAGAAACACCTCTACATTTTTGGTGATTATATCTGTTTTCCTGCCAGTTATCACTTCAGAATATCAAATGAATAAGAAGACATCTGGTCAAAAATATTGCTTCATCACCCTTCCCTCTGCAAAATAAACGGCAGATTTTACCTTTTGTCCCTCATTCAAAATCAGTAAAGACAATGAGAGTATTTATAAAAACGTGTCTGTTATTTCAGGTTGTAATGACACAGTGCCTTACTTCTTTCTGTTTTTTTTTTTTGTTTGTTTGTTTTTGCCCGTTTAATTCAAAAACCTGATGCATTCACTTACAGACACCAGGTCCAACAGGACAGATATCGGGAGGAAAAGGCAAATACTAAACACACGCTACGGGAGGCCAGTATGATGCTGGTCTTGTCAAATGCTGCCCAGTCCATCTCCCCCTCAGTTCCGGGCCATGTCACGTGACTTTCCGCCTCCACCTGTCTAACCTCTCTTCGCCTCCACATCCCCAAGTAAACAATTCAACAACATTTCATTGTCAGCTGACACCCTTCACAGCGCCGAGCTTACCCGGACCACTGGCTCCGTGGGCTGTAGTCCACAGCTACACCATGCATTGGAGACGCTCGGGCAAAAAACGTCGCTTTTCTAGTATTTTGAAACAGTCGGTGCACATTGTTCGGCTGCAGACCACTCCTAATCGCTTAAGAGGTGATTAAATTAATGCACCAGAGTTTTCATTGCGCAGGAAATGATTCCATAGGCTATATGTAGGCTATTATCAAATAGCTCCACGTTTCTCACCCAGTCACTGAAGCCAGTGGGAATGAAGACTGCTAGACTATTTGAAGCGATGAAGTCGTGACCATATCTAATAAAAATGGAAATACTATACTACAGGATGAACGTCAAAATTATGCCGTTTTACATCAAAACGCAGGCCTGTGTGACTGTTTGCCAGACCCCCCTCCCACTCCGCCGATGGTACAGTCTTGGTTCATTCATAAAATTGTAGCAGAGCATAAAAGGAGGGGCTTGCATTCTAGTCTGCAGTTACCAGGTATATACCTGGAGAAAAGACCCGAGCAGCTCTGTCCTGCGGAAGGCCAGAGTCAGATTAGTCATTGATCACGACTTATTTTATTTCCCCCCCTCGTGATGTATCATAACAACCTGACGCCTGACATGGATTCAGTGTCTCCCACCTGCCGGACAGAGTCTCCTGTCGGGACACTCTGCCAGAAGACGCCAGAAGAGGCGAGCTCTCCAGCTTCCTCCTCAGAGAGCAATGCAAAGGTATGACCGGCTTTGTTGATCGTATATTGTCCACGCAGCCCGGGGGGGGCACCCTGTTTAGGAGTCAATTAAACAGCCGTTTTATGTGCCCTATGCTTTTTATCACCGCGGTGGGGGGAGGGGGAGGAGGAATTGATTGATAAGTCTTTAATTAACTGGGTGGGCTGAATTATTTCCATCATTATTTTGATACCTTTGATATGTAATTGAACCGGAGATCAATACAGGTGGAAATGTGACAATATAGCACTGTAGGTCGGATTGTTATGATTCCGACGTCCTGGGACCAATTGCGAGCGTGTCGATGCAGCGGTTCATTGAGAAAAATAAATCCATTCAGGAGACTCCACAGTATCTCTGCGTCAGTGTTGACGTCAGAAACAATGATAAAGTCAAATATTGATCTGGAGGAGGCTATTTCTGGTTGGGTATGTTTCAAGAAAAGACGAAATGCAGGCTGTCCTCTGTTTTAGACCAAACATATGATTGGTTTCATTGATGACTGTCATTAAAATAAGATTCACTTAAAACCACTACTGGAATAGGAATAGATGTATTTATTTATTTGTGCCGTGGTCCTCATTTTCAATTACTTCCATATTTTTCAGGAGGCTTGCGAGGACATAAGCACTCAAGATGCTCCATTTGTTCCAACAGTCACTGCAATTTCCTCTACCCCAGATTTCCAGTGGATGGGCCAGCCTACGGGTATTACATCTGTCTCCCAGTCTCTGGGTAGCAAGCAAGCCAATGGAGTGCAAAGCTCTCACCAGGCAACACCCAAAGCGGGCGGGAATAAGGGGAAAAATGCTGCCAGAAAGGGGAAAACAGAGCAGGTAGGTTAGCTCAGATGAAGTCTACCTGCTATTGGACAGCACAGTCAGTAGTGTACATTTACATATGCCAATCTGAATTTTGTATTAGTAGCAGTACTACTGTGTATGCTGCTGTGGTGCTGTGCGCTGGATATGTGCCTTCCTTAGGCAGTCAATTTATATTCAGGTCACAGCAAGTCTGCAACAATGGTCTATTTTTAGACACATTGCAGCGAAACATGCTTTTGCCATTCAGAGGATGAGTTGGCAACGGATGTAGTGGATTAGAAGACATGGCTGGATCCTTTAAGGTAATAACTGAATTGTTTCTTTTACACCACAGCTGTCTCCAGAGGAGGAAGAGAAGAAAAGGATAAGGAGGGAGAGGAATAAAATGGCCGCAGCAAAGTGTCGCAACAGACGGAGGGAACTCACAGATACACTGCAAGCTGTAAGTAAACAGTGATGCATTTAGTCAGCTGTCATTTGCACCCACTGGCGTGTGTTTTCCCATGTGGATAATTTTGGTGTTGATCTATCTGAAGGAGACAGACAAGCTGGAGGAGGAAAAAGCAGCCTTGGAGACAGAGATAGCCACACTTCTCAAAGAGAAAGAGCGGCTTGAATTTATCCTTGCTACTCATAAACCAATGTGCCAAATACAAGAAGAGCTGGAGTCTATTTTCCAGGAGCCCACAGGATCCCCAGAACTACCTTCCAGCCCAGATGAGGATAGACTTCCAGAGGATGGCACCCAGGAAGCTCCTTCGCTCCAGGACATGGACATGCCCAGTGATCCGTCCATAGCCATCTCTGGGAACTCCAATATCTTGCTGTGCGCCAGTGCTGAAATCAACATCTGCGATCTTGAGCCCTCTCTGGACATTAAGGAGGGGCTGCTGGACAATATGTTACCCGGTATGGAGGAGAAAACCCCCATGGAGACTGCTCGATCTGTGCCAGATATAGATCTGAGCAGCTCTCTCGGTGTCTCTGACTGGGAGACCCTGTACAAGTCTGTGTCCAGCGACCTGGAGCCTCTCAGCACTCCTGTGGTGACCTCCACCCCCACCTGCAGCAGCTACCTGTCTGTGTTCACGTTTGCGTGTCCTGAGCTGGACACTCTGACAGAGGGACTGGATGGCCATAAAGGTGGAGGGGGCAAAGCTGAATCTGTTGATATCCTCAACTCACCAACTCTCCTAGCCTTATAATGTACAGATGGAAATAACATATCTTAACTCTGGTTTTTCTGTTTGCAGGTTCCTGACTTTAAAATGATATGAACGACATATGCCACAGTGTGCTGTAACACTTCAAGGAATACATGTCTTGTGTGTGACTAAGCAGACTTATAAACTTTCCAGATACAAAGCCAACAGAGGGATGTAGCTAAAAGCATGGTTCTTACTTTACAAGGAGGGGCTTGAGTAGGCTGTGTTGATTTTAAGCATGCTGAGAAATTCCAAATAATTTCAAAAGCTCATATATATCTGATCTGTTACTAGAGCTAAGATGTAATGTGGAATGTAATGTCACAGTATGGGTTTGTGTTTTGGTGTGACTAGTGTCTTGATTGCTGTAAATGTTGTATTCAGTCATGTTAAGTACCTGCATACCTCAATGTCATCGACTGTGGTTTGACCTCATTGTTAAAATGTAGACGGTTTTCCATGAAAACATCCAGTGCTATATAATATATATATATATATATATATATATAATCAAGATGTAACTTATTATTTATTTTTTTACCTTTCAGATTTTGAATTATTTGTTAAAATTAAGTGAAATGAGCATTGATTGCTTATCTATACAGCTGAATAAGTACAATAAATCTACATTCAGAGTGGTGAGTGCTGATGTTTGCAATCAGTCTATAAAAATCTCTCTTAATGAAAATATTAAAATTGGCAGCTCAGATGTTCAGAAATAAATTATATGGTATTCTACAAATAAGTTTATAATATGCAAGGTCAATCTGTGGAGAAAATCTAAATTTTGAATGTTCTCTTAATACGATTTAAACCGACTTCAGTTGATTTAGCTTTAAATTTAGTATGGCTCATTTGGCATTTGTTTTGGGGGTCACGGGGGACCACTGGTTGTGCCGTATTCGCAGCGCAGGCCTCCATCGGAGCCACATTCTGGCGTTGCAGCACTACATGCAGCCTCACTGTTTCTTTATGGGAGGAGCGGTGCGACTTCCCCACTTCTGTCCCCATTATGTACTTTTTTACATCCCCTCTTGCGTTTGGCTGGCATAGCCTAATTTCCGCATTCCCAAATCCTCCCAGATTGGGATCACGTTTAAAATCGGGCTGATGCAACGATTTCCCCTTTTTAAAATCTACTCTCGACCCACGGCTGAGCAGAAGAAAGGACATTTGTTGCATCTGGGATCAAAGTCGGGTCGGTATAGAGAACTTCATAAGTCGAGAGCTGAATTTTTACACAGTGAATAGTTTGCTGGCGCGCCGCGCGCATAGGTCACCGCGAGCAGATGTTGTGAACAGGCAGCGAGCAGGTCGGTGATGTTTTCGATTATACGGTGCATTTCAGCGTATTCTCTGACTGTTACGCGTGTTTTGGTGTTTCAAATAGACACGCCATGTTACTGAGCATGCCACGAAAAGATGATTTAATTTGATTTGCATGCTCCTCTCTTACATGGAACCTCGGCGCGGACAATTCAGAACAAAATGTCCTTATTTGGCGGAGCGCAGCGTTTACATTAGCTCTGCGCAGCGGTTCTTAGGACACGGTTTGTCCATTCCGAAATCCGCTGTGACATTTTCTCACCGCAGCTCTCCGGTGGAAAGACAAAGTTACGTAAGATAAATGTCGCACTGAAGAAAAACTTCCGCTTTCAAGTTGACCAGTGGCTTGAGAATGCAGGCTGCAGCACGGTGTGGTGGAACTGTCATGACTGCAGCTGTAGCAGTAAACTACTGCAGAAATCATATTCATAGACACGGGTGTAGTGCAAAAAAGTTCAAGTCAAATTATTATGATTCAGTCTAATCAGTGGAACTTAATGGGTTCCTTGCTGCTTCAGGCTGAGCTAAGTTGCCATTATAAGAGGTTGCTGTAATCAGACCATAATATATTCAAATAGCAGAGACTGCTTTGCAATGTGTGCAGGGGAGACCTTTTTATGAAAATGTTAACAAACCCTGGTGCTAGTGTGGTATTCTCTTTAGCTTTGGTTGGTGTTTGTAACAATTTAAAGCCTGTACCTGTATTTACACCCCTATTTTGTCATTGTTTTGTACCATGTTAAAGACAAATGCTGCTTGTGGCCTTCACGTGCCTGCATGAGCTACATTTTGCCGTTTTGACCTTTAGTTTGGGGAAGTGTAAAAACTGGCAGTTTTTCCCATGTGTGATTCTCATGATGCTTTTAACTGATACGTACTTGACTTACTGTCAGAGCTGTCTTTACAGATGATCATTAGCCAAGCAGTGGTTGTCTATAGGCTTATTTGTGTCATACATTCCTGTAATTTGGGTTAAAGGTCTCTGAGTAATTAACCTTAGACAGCAGTTTTGACTGTATCATGTGGCTTGGAAACCCGCTGACCTGCATTGTAGTAATTTCCTGTGTCCTTGTCGGACTCTGCTTATACACCTCTGCCATTGTCTTTGGCTATATTTAAATGTTCATAGTCAGCATTTTCAAACGAACAGTGGTAGACAGTGCACAACTGTGACAATTTATTCAGCTACTAAACAAAAGAAAACATTGTCATCTTTACTATTTTTTGTTTGGCTAAACACAACAAGTTGAGTCTGGGCTCAGACCTTACCACATAATGTTGTGTTTTCACCGCCACATTCCACTCCCTTGACATTAAAAGTCTCGTAAGGAGGAAACCACAGTTAATGGGTATTTCTTGGCTATGGCTAGCTTTCACTCCCCTTGGAATAAAGGGAATTTGTCTGACTCTGCTGTAAAACGTTGCTTTTTGCCTTTGTGCATTAAATAAGCTTCTTTGACATTTTTGCCAAGATTGCCGTGGATAGTAGCATATTCATTCCAGAAAAAGAAGCAGAATAATAAAATGGCCTAGGGAGAGCAGCCTCAGCATTCAGCTCCTATAACAGACCTGCAATTCATCACAGTAAGGGGAGTCTGGCTGTTGGAAAGCAGCAGTGCACCTTGGGCAATTGCCTTGTTGGGGCCCTTTACTGTAGGTCATATAAAGCACTTACATATATATTTGTATTCAGTTTGTTAACCTCTTGAGCCCTGTGGTGTGGCTCTTGTAAACAGACATACCCATAATAGTATCGTACGACTGGACCCTGTACTGGGTTTAACAGGTTAATGTAATATGTGTGTTTTCTCACACAATAAAGTTTGCCTGGTATGTTCTACAACATAGTTATATGTGCTTTTCATTTATCTGGTTTAGCTGTTGTCTGAGTATGTCTCCCATTTTCTCCCTCTGCCTCCTAGCTGTGGTCACGGCCGAGTCTGACACAATGCCAGGACAAATCCCAGATCCCTCTGTGACAGCAGGCTCCCTCCCCAGCCTGGGCCCACTAGTTGGGATCTCAGCCACCACGCTGACTGACAAGCTCAAATTTGGTGACATCCAGGACTTTGGGACAATGTTGTCACCTCTGCACTTCCTGGACTGTCTGGGGAAAAGGCCCTTGGTCATCAAAACAGAGGTATAGGACACAGTGAGCAGACGGCAACCAACAATCCTCAGTCACAGAGGTATAGGACACAGTGAGCAGACAACAACAATCCTCAGTTGTATGTACATGTAAAGAGTATATTTAGACTTTTTTACTCAGTTCACGTGCATTCGGAGGCAAAAATAATAATTGCAACAATTCAAAATCATTTATCATACAGATTTTTAACAGTGTGCAATATTCCCCTCATATATCATGAACAGGTTTGCCTGAGGCAAAGGCACCTTTGCGATTACAGTGTGGTATCATATGTTAATCTAGACGACCACCTAGTGGCCATGGTGGGCATGCTGCTGTCATTAAATGTCATGTGGGGCACTCTCCACCACCAGTGTCCTGGCAAAAATGTGATCAGTTTGACAGCATTTATACAACCAGATAGATCTCTGGCTCTGCTGAGTTTGGGGTAGTGGGGGTTGCACACATCCTCATTTGGTTTGGGTTTGATACAGAAAGAGAAAAGAAGGTCACCATATTTACAGTGTAAATGTTGTATTCTACATATAGTTAAAACATGAACTATAAAGTTGTAATATGAGAAATACACAATTAACATTTTTTTGTGCATTGGTAGATATTAGCCAGTAGAAAAATAACCACAGGGAGACGGGCTCAAACAGTCACATAACAATGTAATTATAAAGAAGGTAAAATACCCAGCGACCATTTTGTTCCTAATCCATCACACCCTAACATAATGTCAAACTTTTTTTTACTGTGTTGGTCTTCAGAGAGATGAAGAGGAAGAGAGGAGGAAACGAAGGCGGGAGAAGAACAAAGTGGCTGCAGCTCGATGTCGAAACAAAAAGAAAGAGAGGACAGATTATCTACAAAAGGTGAGACATAGTTTAGTAATCACTTTGTCCAAATTTGGCATTCTCACATATTTATCTTTTGTGTTGTAGATATCAAAACAACATTCCTACTTTATCTCAGTCTTCCCCCCTTATTACGTCCTCTTCCCCTCCATATTCTCACAGGAATCTGAGAGACTAGAGATGTTAAATTCTGACCTTAAAGCCCAGATCGAGGAGCTGAAGCTCGAACGACAGCAGCTGATCCTCATGCTTAACCGCCATCGCCCCACGTGTATTGTCAGAACAGACCGTGTGAAAACCCCGGAGAGTGAGGTGAACCCCCTGCTGCAGCAGCTGGAGGCCAAGTGAAGGTGCAACGGATTTCTACAGTTTTACACTTGAGAAGAAGCAGCCAACTAGCAGCACTTAGTTTTGGGCCTCTATCATGGAGGAGAACCAGCCAAGCCCTCCTACCTTAAGTCACAAAATGTGGATCAAATAGGACTGGACGCTGTTTTGACAGTGAAACCTTTTGCTTTCTCTCTGTTGCTTTTCCACTGAGCCGTCAGAGCTCCAGCCGCTATCACTATGAAGTTTAATAGGAAAAACACAGCCAGTGGCAAATTACCATACATTCTTAACATTAGCCATAGCCAACTTGGCATCAATTCAGTACATTAACAGCAGCTAAATTTGAGTTTGGTAGCAGTAGAAGTTTTCATTATTGAAAATTTCAGTTGATGTGAGGTTGGTAATTTTCATGTCGTCATGAAAAACAGTGGTTTTATACAGTATGTGATCATATGTGATATGTGTGATTTGATTGTGTTGCCCTTGTTAAGATGCATTGTGGGAATCATAGGAATTGCAAACAAAATGGCAGGTAGAGAATAGGCACATTTTGTAAAATATAGAAAAATAACGTGGACTACATCGACCATCACATACTTATGGTATGTGGTGTTTTGTTTTATTTTCTCAGTCAGTTGAAAAAAGGTCATTCCCTGTTTTCTAAAGGAAGCAGTTACACCTGCAGACACACCCAGAAGCAGTTTTACTGCACAATTCAACATTTTTGGTCATTTTTGTTCAAGACGTTTGGTGGCACAGCGGTCAATCCTCCTTTTTTTCTTTACTCCTATGTTTTGGCGCAGGCGTCATATATGCACATATATATGGACTGTTTACATCGTACTTTATGTTCTGTTACCATATTGTTACTACTAATTGTTTTTTATACTTTTGTATATGATGTTATATATATGTATATAAGCTATCAAAAACCCATTTTGTATTTCCTCAAGAAATAAATGTTTAGTTTCTTTTTATTGGAATTTTTCTTGAAACAGAAACGTCATTTGCTGTATCATGTTTTCAGGAAACCTTTTGTGACCAAATGGTACCATCCGGTGGCCGGTAGCGGCACAACCTTATTAACCCTTTACATTTTGATCCACATACAGTATGTGATTTTTTGCAGGAACTTGTAAACTATTTAGCCTTTTTGAACTCTCACACATTTCAGTGCAATTATATATTATAACATAAGGTTTGGCTTATTTCTAAATGTAAGATTTCAGGCATCACAACAAGTCCTTTAGTTATAGCAGTGGGTGTACGTCCACTGAAATTCCAGCAGAAGAAAATCTGGTAAAAATGGACTGTAGCTATGTGAAGAAACATTATTTTTTAAAAGTTTAACTTTATTCCTTTCACTTCATGCGTAATTCTACATTAAGTCACCAAACCATCAAAATCTTAATCACAGGGCTTTTCTGTTGTAGGAAATCAAATGCAGACCAGCAGTGAGTGTAATGTAATCACATTTTTGCTGGGTTCAGATTTCACATTTCATAATACATAAAATGAAGAGTAAACATATGCAGTAGTTCTCAGTATGTACTAACTAATAGCAAACACAAAGGTAGCCAGTGCCGGGCCGACCTATTCATGGTGACCATGCTCGGACAGTTTATAAGTGCCCTGGCCCAAGTCTTCATTCTTGAGATGCCCTTCTGGCTGGCGTCGATCTGGTTCGGCTCGAATGAGGTTTCCACTGCTTGCCCTGTTGAGGTTTTTGGGAATCAGAAAAGGTAAAATGTACGGCAGAGAAATGGCCCCCGTGACTGATATATTGTTAAATATTACATATCAGATTGTATAATGGATGCACTAAAGCTTAAGTAGAATTTCACTGGTGTAACTGGCTGATGTGGAGCTGGTTTTAGCTATGTTTTATAACCTGAGTTCAGTGGTTTTCAACCTAGGGGCTGGGTCTCTCCAAAAAGTCACAAGATAAATTTGAGGGGCAGATAAATAATGGGGTATGAAAACAGAAAAAATACAGCGCTACTACTTAAACTTGTATCCTTTTTTTTGACATTTCTCCAATTTTTGCTGTTGTTTATGAAGTGTTGGATCATTTTACCTCTTTACACAGGAAAATACGCTTACAACTCAAAGGTCTCACTTATAAAACATTGGCAGTATTACATCAGAAATTGTTACTTTGTTAAAGCGGTTAATGACACACTCACGTCAACTATAAAGAAAAATGGGCAACAAGTCATTTACTCATTAACCTGCAGCATCCTTCAGTATGATGACTGAAGGGCTTTAAAACAAATAATTATATGCCTGTATTACAGGCATATAATTAGAGATGTGGTGGAGTGTTAAGTGTTTTTGCTGCAGAGTCAGGTCTCATGTTTGCATCAGGCTGCCACTACTTATATATATTTTTACCAACATATAAACATTTGAAATAGTAGTTTTATGCTTGCAAAATAACACAATATATTTGTGTATGTATAGTATGTGTCCCTAACTAGCAACAAAATCCAGTTCCCCTCCTGGACTAGCCCATCATAATTAAAGTTCAGACTGGGTTCCTGTGAGCAAGTGCTTGCTGATGCTACAATAAACTCAAATGAGAAGCCTGCAATCAGAAGAAATACACACAAGACAAGAGCATTACATGAACAACAAGGTGTCAAACACCAGACTGGCCAGGCCAACACTTTCAACATTTGCCAAAAATGGATGTTGGCAGCCAACATCAGTCGTGCCAATCAGGTCATGTAACTATTGACAAGAATTGGTGATTTTTCAACATTGCTAATTATATTTTAACCCAGGTAAGGTCGAGCCAAGTGAACTGCCATCGTGGTAAGACAGTGCACAGACAGGAAGAAATGTTTGCTTCTGTCCAGGTGTTAAGTACTGTCTGAAGGAAAACAGAAGACATTCAGAACAACATGAGCACACAGGATCATCTCCCTCACGAATGTATGGGAGACCTTGACAAGGCCATGGACAATGATTGCTCTCCAACAAAAAAAGAGAGATTCAGTTTTTTTGAACAAAAACATCGACTGCCTCTGGGAGCTAGCAGAGACACCTTGGAGGACTCAGTCCTGGACACTGAACAGCAGTTCCCAGTGGAGACCAAGTTATACAAACGGCGATGGGTCATAGTTTTTCTCTTCACCACCTACGCCACGAGTAATGCCTTCATGTGGCTGCAGTATAGCATCGTAGGCAACATCTTCATGCGCTTCTATGATGTTGACTCCATTGCCATCGACTGGCTCTCCATGATCTATTTGCTCAGCTACATCACTTTCATCGTGCCTAGCATGTGGCTGCAGGACAAGTGGGGCATGAGGGTCATAATGTTGTTGGCGTCTGCCTTAACCTGCATTGGGGCCTGGATCAAGACAAGCACGGCCAAACCTGACATGTTTGCCTTGACCTTCTTTGGCCAGTTTGTGTGTGCAGTCGCCACACCTGCCCTGGCTTTCCCATCCAGACTTGCGTCCCTGTGGTTTGGGGAGAATGAGGTGTCCACCGCCTGTTCCATTGGCGTTATGGGGGATCAGGTGTGTCTCTGCTTACCTGTTTCACTCAAAACATCTTAAGCAGTTTGTGTATAGTGTCCCATTGTGTTTGTGCATTGTTGAAAAATTTTACCTCTTCGTACAGCAAATACGCTGCCAACAAAGCAGTCTCAGCTATAAAACACTGACAAAATGCTACAAGAAATGCTCAGTCTGTTAAAGCAGTTAATAACAGCATCACATCAACATTACAGAAAACTGGGCTAAAGTCATTTACTCATCAATTAAAAACAACATTCTGGGAATCATAGGCGTGTTGGGGTAAAAATATAGAAAAATAACATGTGGACTACATCGACCATCACATACTTATGGTATGTGGGGTTTTGTTTTATTTTCTCAGTCAGTTGAAAAAAGGTCATTCCCTGTTTTCTAAAGGAAGCAGTACACCTGCAGACACACTCAGAAGCAGTTTTACTGCACAATTCAACATTTTTGTCATTTCAAGACGTTTGGTGGCACAGCGGTCAATCCTCCTTTTTTTCTTTACTCCTATGTTTTGGCGCAGGCGTCATATATGCACATATATATGGACTGTTTACATCGTACTTTATGTTCTGTTACCATATTGTTACTACTAATTGTTTTTTATACTTTTGTATATGATGTTATATATATGCATATAAGCTATCAAAAACCCATTTTGTATTTCCTCAAGAAATAAATGTTTAGTTTCTTTTTATTGGAATTTTTCTTGAAACAGAAACGTCATTTGCTGTATCATGTTTTCAGGAAACCTTTTGTGACCAAATGGTACCATCCGGTGGCCGGTAGCAGCACAACCTTATTAACCCTTTACATTTGGATCCACATACAGTATGTGTTGGATTTTTTGCAGGAACTTGTAAACTATTTAACATTTTTGAACTCTCACACATTTCAGTGTAATTATACATTATAACATAAGGTTTGGCTTATTTCTAAATGTAAGATTTCAGGCATCACAACAAGTCCTTTAGTTATAGCAGTGGGTGTACGTCCACTGAAATTCCAGCAGAAGAAAATCTGGTAAAAATGGACTGTAGCTATGTGAAGAAACATTATTTTAAAAAGTTTAACTTTAATTTAAGTTTCTTTATTTCTGTTTGCCTGTGTGTTTCATGCTCTTCTGACATTTCTGTTTTGACTCACTGGTTGTATTGCCGAACAGCTCCAGTTCAACAGTCATGGTCATTTTTTATTTCAGCAGCGGGGTGGAGTAACACTCGGATCATCTCCTAGTGGGATTTATCAGACAAATCAAGCCCATTGAATTTACGTCTGGAGAACAGGTGAATCTTTTGGAATGAAGTCCACATTTTATGTATGAAGCCATGTCAGTATCGCTGTGACAGCAGGAAACCAGTGATCGTGGCAACTGAACCGGTCTGTCATGTGGAGCGAAAGTGATACTTGATTACACTTCTGTGATTTGTCTTGTGTAGCCGCGGTTTTGTCTGGTTTAAAAGACCAGATCATTGCAGTGGTGGAAGACGTCTTTATCTTCCAAGTGCACCGCTGTAACTGAAGCAGAACATGGGAGATGACACGAGTGGCGCACAGGACACCAAGGACGATGGTCCACGTTCAGGAGCGATTGATATGGATGCAACGAACCAAACTGAGCGAAGAAGCATCCCAAATGGTGACAGCGACCCTGGGGTCAAAACGCATTTATACAAGAAGCGCTGGGCGATTATGTTCCTGTTCAGCGCATACTCCTTGACGAACGCGTACCAATGGATCCAATACGGGATCATCAGCAACATCATTATGAAGTTCTACAAAGTCGAAGCCCTCGCTGCAGACTGGCTGTCCATGGTATTCATGCTGACCTACATTCCCTTCATTTTCCCAGTCACTTGGCTCCTGGATAAGAAAGGGCTGCGCGTAATTGCGCTGGCTGCCAACGTGCTTAACTGCGCTGGGACATGGATCAAGGTAGCCAGTGCCAGACCCGACCTATTCATGGTGACCATGCTCGGACAGTTTATAAGTGCTCTGGCCCAAGTCTTCATCCTTGGGATGCCCTCGCGGCTGGCGTCGGTCTGGTTCGGCACGAATGAGGTTTCCACCGCTTGCTCCATTGGCGTTTTTGGGAATCAGGTGAGTTGATCTTTGATGCTAATAGAAAGGTATCGCCGTAATAAAACTCCATATTCTGTTTAATGTGATTCTGAACCAAAAACCCCAACAGAAATCATTTAATTGCATCGTTTAACCAAATAGTATTCCGAGAAGCTGCTACCTAAACTTATGGCTTAGATGGTTTAATGGGGACCCTGTCTCCATCCATGTCCAGAAACCCAGAAACCAACCAGGACAATGTCTTTTTATGATATTGTACATGACTGCTATAAATTCTTGAACCAAGGTGCAAATAATGAAATGCCAAAAACTAAATGACATAACCTGGGCTGCTGGGGGTCCTGTGGGTTGCCCACTTTGCCTGGTTGGCACTGCAGCCCTGCCTACACCTGGTCAGGACAGCCCCCAGTGCTTTTAATTTGAATTAACATATACAGGAGGCTTTCCTTATTTTGCACTGAGACTAAAGGGATTCCAGGAAGTTATGGGATCCCACTTTAGACAGAAAACATTCAGATAAAGATCCTGGACTGAAGTATGAGTAGTGGGCCACCCAGTACATGAGCCTACTTATTTATCTGAGATACTCTAGTCTATATTGCCAAAGCACCACACCATATTTACTTTGACTCCCAGTAACCTTTGTGTCTTCTTCATTGGTTTATTGAATGCACTTATTTGCAGTAGTGGGAAGTGAAACTAAGTAGATATAGACCTTTTTATTTCTTAGCCTGAGCTAGTGAGACAGACAACTGTTTGTGTGGTAAAGCTTATCTGCATATTCACAGTCCACTTTGGAAAAACTTGTCAGGGTTCATGAATATTAAAATTTGGAGATTTGCTGAAATATACAAGCAAGTACTCTTTACTGCATGAAGAATTATTCAGTTCCTTTATTTAAGTAAAAGTAGCCATACAAAAATATAAAAAAACAATCTATGACATTTCCATTCAAAATCCTATTTAGGTAAAAGCACAGAAAAGGTAAAATGTACTTAGAGTATCAAAAGTACTACAGAGAAATGGCCCCCGTGACTGATATATTGTTAAATATTACATATCAGATTGTATAATGGATGCACTAAAGCTTAAGTAGAATTTCACTGGTGTAACTGGCTGATGTGGAGCTGGTTTTAGCTATGTTTTATAACCTGAGTTCAGTGGTTTTCAACCTAGGGGCTGGGTCTCTCCAAAAAGTCACAAGATAAATTTGAGGGGCAGATAAATAATGGGGTATGAAAACAGAAAAAAAACAACAACAACAAAAGTACTGCTGCATAAACTTGTATCCAATTTTTGACATTTCTCCAATTTTTGTTGTTACTTATGAAGTTTTGATCATTTTACCTTTTTATACAGGAAAATACACTTGCAACTTCAAAGCTCTCACTTATAAAAACATTGGCAGTATTACATCAGAAATTACTACTCTGTTAAAGCGGTTAATGACACACTCATGTCAACTCATTAACCTGCAGCATCATTCAGTATGATGATTGGAGGTCTTTAAAACTAACTATGAGAGATTAAAGAGCAGCACAATGATGCTATGAGTTTAAAAAAAATAACCAGAAGTTCTAACATATATCATTTATTCTAACATATATTCTAACATATATCATTAATTATATTGTTATTTTCTGTGATTTTTTAATTAAACAATTTAGATGCCAAAACCAAATTACAAAAATGTTATTACATGTATTACAGGTATATAATTAGAGATGTGGTGGAGAAATTGTTTTTGCTGCAGATTCAGGTCTCATATTTGCATCAGGCTTCCACTACTTATATATATAAACAAACAAAAAAAAAAATCCCCACTTGCCCTTCACTTCGGGACGGTCTTTTATTCCTTCCTTCAGGCTCGGGTCCTCTACCAGAGGCCTGGCAGCTTGAGGGTCCTGCGCAGTATCTTAGTTGTTCCTAGGACTGCCCTCTTCTGGACAGAGATCTCAGATGTTGTTCCTGGGATCTGTTGGAGCCACTCTCCCAGTTTTGGGGTCACAGCCCCCAATGTTCCTGTTACCACAGGGACCACTTGTGCCTTCACCTTCCACATCTTTTGTAGCTCTTCTTTCAGCCCTTGGTATTTCTCGAGCTTCTCGTGTTCCTTCTTCCTGATGTTGCTATCACTTGGGATTGCTACATCTATCACTACAGCCCTCTTCTTCTGTTTGTCCACCACCACTATGTCCGGTTGGTTGGCCATTACCAGTTTGTCAGTGTGTATCTGGAAGTCCCACAGGATCTTAGCCGATGATCTCTATTTTTACCAACATATAACATATAAACATTTGAAGTAATAGTTTTATGCTTGCAAAATAACAAAAACTACCCTTTTCCTTTGGCTTCTCAGCACTTTAAGCTGTTTTTCATTTTTTTCATGAACTTGCAGCTTTTGTTTAAGCATCACACCCAATGGATTGAGCTCTTCTGTACACATCTGTATAAATATGTATGTATGAATGTATGTATGTGTCCCTAACTAGCAACAAAATCCAGTTCCCCTCCTAGACTAGCCCATCATAATTAAAGTTTAGACTGGGTTCCTGCGATCAAGTGCTTGCTGATGCTACAGTAAACTCAAAGGAGAAGCCTGCAATCAGAAGAAATACACACAAAAGAAGAGCATCACATGAACAAAGAGGTGTCAAACACGAGAGTGGCCAGGCCAACACTGCTATGGGAGGGGCCAATCAAGTCCTGTAACTATTGACAAGAATTGGTGATTTTTCAACATTGCTCATTATATTTTAACCCAGGTAAGGTCGAACCAGGTGAACTGCCACCAAGGTAAATCAACGCACAGACAGGAAGAAATGTTTGCTTCTGTCCAGGTGTTAAGTACTGTCTGAAGGAAAACAGAAGACATTCAGAACAACATGAGCACACAGGATCATCTCCCTCACGAATGTATGGGAGACCTTGACAAGGTCGCGGACAATGATTGCTCTCCAACAAAAAAAAAGAGGACCAGTTTTTTTGAACAAAAACACCAAATGCCTCTGCGAGACAGCAGAGACATCTTGGAGGACTCAGTCCTGGACATTGCACAGCAGTCCCCAGTGGAGACCAAGTTATACAAACGGCGATGGGTCATGCTTTTTCTTTTCAGCACCTACTCTGCAAGTAACACCTTCATGTGGCTGCAGTATGGCATCATCAGCAACATCTTCATGCGCTTCTATGATGTTGACACTGTTGCCATCGACTGGCTCTCCATGATCTATTTGCTCAGCTACATTCCTTTCATTGTGCCTAGCATATGGCTGCTGGACAAGTGGGGCATGAGGGTCATAATGTTGTTGGTGTCCGCCTTGAACTGCATTGGGGCCTGGATCAAGACAAGCACGGCCAAACCTGACATGTTTGCCTTGACCTTCTTTGGCCAGTTTGTGTGTTCAGCTGCCACAGTTGTCCTGGCCATGTCATCCAGACTTGCGTCCCTGTGGTTTGGGGAGAATGAGGTGTCCACCGCCTGTTCCATTGGCGTTATGGGGGATCAGGTGTGTCTCTGCTTACCTGTTTCACTCAAAACATCTTAAGCAGTTTGTGTATAGTGTCCTATAGTGTTTGTGCATTGTTGGATAATTTTACCTCTTCATACAGCAAATACACTGCCAAAAAAGTAGTCTCAGCTATAAAACACTGAGAAAATGCCACTGGAAATGTTCAGTCTGTTAAAGCAGTTAATAACAGCATCACATCAACATTATGGAAAACTGGGCTAAAGTCATTTACTCATCAATTAAAAACAACCTTCAGTATGATGACTGGAGGCCTTTTACACGGGGTTCACCTTGAACAGGTCGCCAGTCTATCACAGGACTGACACTGAGAGACAGACAACCACACACACTCATGCCTAGAGGGGATTTAGAGTCACCAATTAAGCTAAGATGCATTTCTTTGGACTATGGGAGGAACTGGAGAGAACCCATGCAGGCACAGGGAGAACATGCAAACTCCGCACAGGAAGGCACTGGGCTGGCCAGTGCTTGAGCCCGCAACCCTTTTGCTGTGAGGTGACAATGCATCAAATCAAATTTAATTGGCTGTGATTCAAAAAGTATACATCATATCAACAACCTACTTTACACCAAAGCAGAGCAACTTGTGTAGTGTCATTATCTTTGACTGACCCTCCTACATGAATCAATTGCAAAAGTATCTAGCTATAAAATTAGGTACGAACTGACGTTCACTGTAAAGCCCTGTATGGGCATGGGTGCATAAAGTTCACCACACGCCTTTAGGACCCTGAGGTGCACAAGTCCCCCATTTTGGTTGAAATATACCAATCCACTGCTGAGTTACAGCCTATCAAACTTTTAATTGCAACAGGAAGTGAGATTTTGATCTATTTTGGTTAACTGTAGTACCCCCAGTGTCAACTGAACATGAAATTCTATGGGGAGACATAGACATGGGATTATCTGAATTATAATGAATTTGGTTGAGATTCATACCTTTCCTGCAGTTATATTTCAGAGATACAATACGTCTGTAGCGCCCCCGAGTTATGAAAGTAAACAGTTATACAGGCCTGCTCAGAGTGCGTTCTTGCACCTAGGATCCACTTTTGCTTGCATTTGGGCATTTTCGTAGAGATTTATAACATTTGACACTTTTCGACCACTCTTCTTCACTACCCAATAGCATGTGAATGGTAAAGAATATTGCAGAACGAGTGGTAGCATTGTTTCCGGGATGCTCCAAATAAGTGATGTACCAGGTTTAGTAAAGATTGGATAAAGTATGGAGAACAGGGGGTGAAAAAAGTGTTTTACAAAAAATCCAAAATGGCGGCAAATCTAGCCAGATGGAAATGGGTGGTCCCAATGGCAAAAATATTGGGAAGTTTCCAAGGAATTCAGAGAAAAAATAACTTTCTCTAGGCCTCACAGGTCAAGAGTTAGTAATGAAAATGTAAAACATTTACATTAACAAAGCTGTTCTTTTCTTTAATGTATAATCTATTAAACCAGCAGATGCAAGAAAATGTTAGAAGTCTT